TTGAACGAGCGTCATGATGACCTGTCGTGCAGAGATTGCCTAGTGTGCGTATGTGGCAGTCCAGTTGGGCTCACACCCGTACCCCGCTCGGCGATAAACATGCTCCGATAGCTTCGACATTATGCATGCCTATTGTACCCTTCTACATACATCTTTCCTATATGTCAACAGCCTCTACATCATTGATGGTGGGGGGCGATATTCTGGTACAGTGCCTGACGTAGCAGGGGTCTTAGAGGTAGTATTCTGTACACTCTGTGGAGTATGTTGCGATGCGCTTGGCGGATTGGAAGGCGGGGGCGCCCCGTTCTCGGGCATTCCCAGATCCCATGACCACCAATTGGCGCTCTACAAGTCATCAGCAAGCTTCTGATAACCAGCAAATAGAACCTACCGTCATATTGCCTCCATCAGGCATCATCATGGGATCCCAGAATTGATGCAACTATCACAACATCAGCACGAGGCCCTGCCCAACACCATAGGTGCTCACCAAGAGATCTGTTGAATTGTCCATGCCCAGCGTGTGCGCGCTCGTGCCCAGCATACCACTAACAGGTGGAGGATCAAGCGGGGGCACAAAGTGCTGCTGTAGCAAGTGCATTGCGGGCGTCATGGCTGCGTTATTCACCATCGGTGATGGTGTGCGCTGGTCGATAGGTTTCGAAGGAATGTTGATCGCTTTGTGCGCACCAGAGGCAGCACGCTCAATGAGCCTCGTCTTCCACCCCAAAAGTTCTCTATCCTCTTCCTCTTGCCCTTGCTCGTCGTCTTTCCAAGTATGCGGTCCAGTCCCGTTCCCAGCAGTGGCACAGGTCTGTGCAATCTTCTTTGCGCTCCGCTGGTGCAGCCTCACGAGCCAATCGTGGTTCTGCACCATTGAGGGCGAATTGTTCTGTTTAATGAGGGTGGAGTAGACGTGAATGGCTTGTTCGATCTGGGAGAGAGCAAAGGCGGCGAGCGCAGACTGAGGATTCTTGAGGATGAGGGTGCCGAGACAGACGGCGGCGGTAAAGAGGTGGTACCAGAAAAACCATTGGCGGGAGATGATGGTCGGGTGGAGACGATAGAGATCTGAGACGACTTGAATGATGACCTGCGGCTTGTCAGTCTGAGATCAGAGAGGTAGGCGATTACTCACATTACACCGTTCCACAACCGCGAGATATGAGTGCCCGTATAGCGACCGTGTAGGGTCATTGGGCTCATCGTGCATGGCCATCACAAAGTAGGGCCTTTGCAGAAACAATATCGCCTCTGCGATATTGAGTGCCAGGGTATACGTCTGTAGCGTCTATAGCCCAATTGTAAGTGTTATACACACACGTGGGAGAACATACGTACCCGGTGCAGATTATGCCGGCTGACTTCAGGGCTGTTCCGCCGGGCCATGTTGGCATCTGGATAGACAGAAGGAAGGGCCAAAAGAGCACACCGACATCGCATGTCGTACGGCACATTGAGCTCAAAGTCGCATAGCTCGGCGTAGAGCTTTTGAATCGTATCATATGCCTGAAAGTTGACTGTGAGGCCGACTTCGAGTATCCTGGGATTTGCATGTCAGCTGGAGGCTTTTAAGGTAAACAAGAGAGCAATACCGAGATGATATCTGACACAGCTCAAACTTCAGCGTTGGCCACCCTTTACCACCCATCGCGATCTCTGAGGGATTGGGGCTCGGAAAAGCAGTGTCGATGAATTTGTTTGCTAGTGAGTTTGGTCGAGAGAAACAGTTGGCTTGGAAGACTTCAATGGTGTGGCATTCCCAAAAGACATGGCTGTGGAAGAGTCAGAAACAGTCTTCTCGAAACGCAGAAACGTACCGTCGTTCATGAACCACATCTTCAGGCAGGTCCCACTTGGCTCCATCACGGTGCAGGCCCATCTAGCGAGGTCAGCGTGGTCGATGCGTGGCATCGTATCTACTCACAGCCACCACAAGACTCATAGCCAAGCCCCATAAAGGCCAAGCGGCATCTCCATTCCTGCCACTCTCCGTTTCCAGGTAGTAATGTGCCATCGTTACCTGAGCAACTATCAGTAGAAGCCCGGAGCATTTGCCGCTACACGTACCAAAGTCTGAACACCAGCTATCGTTCCATGGTTCAAGAAATTGCCTTTCGTCAGACTCCCTTTTGCCAGAGCCAAGTACTCTTCGGCGCTTTCGTCATGCGGCGGTAGCTCAATATTATGCACCGTCCCCATAGCAAGGATGATGTAGACCAATGCTAATTGCTGGAGATGGACGCTTGCTTCAGGTTGTGGACGTTGTGAGGCATCGTAAACCTTTTCAAATATAGGCTGAAAGGTTTTCCGAGGTGCTGGGTCATGGCTGAGGAATGTCAGCATCTCAAGTCAACAGACTCAAGAACAACTCACTTCCAAGCGAAATACCGATAGTACGAGTCTACTAGCACTTCCGCATCCCCTCGAGCTGGCAATCTGGAGAACAGGGTCTCAACGTCTGCAGCAGCGACAGGTTCGTTGAAGGGGAATGAGTAGAGTGGATCGGAATACGATTTCGATGGAATCTGAGGATTGGCTAGAGCGGATGTACCAGCGACTGGAGACCGTGAATGGCCGGGAGTCTCCATACCGCCCATCTCTTGCTACATGTGATGTCAGAATCCCACAGAACCAAGCGATCATTCGACTCACGTTCTTCAGCCATTCAGTACCTGCTGTGGGCCCTAAATATCTCGACCTTCCCGATTTGCCAATCACCAACGTTCCATGACTATGCTCGACCGGCGACCCCACGGGAGCGCTCCCGCGAGTGTTGAAGGATGATATGGGCGGGAGCTGTGGATGGGGAGCTACAATGCTGGATGGCTGTGAGGACGACGGTCCTCCGTTTGGCGATGGATACGAAAACGGATTTGTCCCCGGCGAGTTCGAGATCGGATACCGAGATGCCTGCATTTCGCCGCGTCCACGAGAGGGCGACCGACTCCGTCTGTTGGATGTAGAGTAGTAGGGAGACTCTGAAGTTCCCCGATTTGGTTTCCAATCCTCCCCCAATATTGAGCTTCGATGTACTGAGGTGGCATCCGAGTCACGGCGGGATGGCCGCCGTTGTATCGAGCTGTCTTCCCCTACTTCTAATCCGTGCTCTGATAGTAGCCCTTCGAGGGTCGTCAGGCGCTTCTGAAGCGCTTCTGCGCTCTTGGCATCCAGCCCTCTGCCCTGTGTCAGTGATATTCACCGGTTCAGAAATGTGAACTCACCCTCGGCGAGTCTCTTTGGTTCCATCGGGACATAGCTCGCGACAACCTCGCCTGACGCAATTTGAGCAGGGCACCTCCCTGTCGCACTTCAACTTGAGCCTCCGGCACTCTGACTTTCTGTCAGATTCCACAGCATAGGCTGGGCGACGAGCATGACGCACCTGCACAGCTGAGCCTCTTCTTGTTTGCGGTTTGCTCCTCGTTCTCCTTGGCATGGGGCTGCCTGGCCGTGCTCTCCTCTTGCTTGTAGTTGGCAGACATGCGGGCGGAAGGAAATCGAGGTCGGTGTCGAGCGTATACTTATTCTTGACAGTCCAGCAATATCAATTGTCTCCATTGAATCCCATTCCCGGCAACACCACAATGTCCGGGGTCGGACCGGAGGCGGGAATCGCCGCTCGTAAACACAATCAAGTGGAGGCTGCTGTTGTGATCTTCGTTTGTCATCCCATGTCGTCTTGCCTTATCTTGTCTACACAGACGTATCCACCAGCGCAGCTCTCAGCGTGCCTAATGGTATCAGATCATCCTTTCATCAGGTTTCGCAAGCCATCCGTATGGTGCACATCTCAGCCATCCGGCCTATACAGGAGGGCTGTGTCCTCAAGTGGACTACATGATCCCTCGATCCATTCATTACTCCAAACCAAGAAGCACTCTGGCCACTTTTTCAGCTTATCATCACCCATCTCCCGCCAGCACTTGGTCTAACAATTCAAACATCCAAGCTCTTCGAGCCGATCGCTGTTGGCCCATTGGATCTTAAGCACCGAGTTGTACTTGCACCCCTGACCCGAAAGCGAGCTTCCGCGGAGACTGGTGTCCCTTCCGAGCTATCTATCGAGTACTACAAGCAAAGATCTTATGGTGAGCTCAAAGTCAGTGGCAGGCGGGTACAAGGCCGAATATGCGATCAAGCATGCGGACGAGACTGGCGATCTTGTTGTCTTTGGTCGATACTTCGTTTGTAAGCTGGCCCTTCTGCTGTTGCGATGGACACATATGCTGATACTCTCGGAAAGCCAACCCAGACCTTCCTACAAAATTGAGAATGGCTGGCCTCTCAAGCATTATAATCGGGACACTTTCTATACTCAAGTGTGGTTGGTTGCACAGAGTACGTCTCATTGTTACCCACTTGACAATGTCATTCGCTGATTAGATGGCAGCTACTATACCGCGCTTTTTTTGAGCTGCACCAGGAAGACTCCTTCAGCTCCCTCGCTTAGGATCCAGTTTTCGATTTGTCTCCAATCGTTGAGCAACGCTGCGGGGCGAGATGACGGGTCCAGGGCGTCTAGCAGAGGCTTGGGAAATCCCCGAGAAAAATACGATGCAACATCCTTTTGATCGTTTCCAATTGTCCATGCGCCGCAGCTTTAACCGTGAAGTCATATGGGGCACGAACGGAGGCGAGCTCAGGCGGGCAAGCTTTGTTCGGCAGGCCGGGGGAGCTACTACAGTACATCGCGAGGAGGCGTTCGTCGACGAAGATTTGCTGCGTGATCATGATGGTGGCGGGCGATGACCCATAACCTCCACTCATGAGCTCCACTTTCCACTATCTTTGTCATCACCAAACTTGTCAGCGTACCTGGCCGGTGAGTCATCACAGCTGAGCACATCTTTGTCATCAACAAAAGCTACCGCGCTCGGCACCGCCGGTTTCGGCCATTTGGATTGGGTGACTAAAGATAAAAGACCCTGGCGCCATGGTATAAACAGGCATCATATCTCTCCGTCTTGTAAGCTGGTATGCATTTGGACTTCAATATGACCATCCAGACATCCAAGCTCTTCGAGTCTATCGCTGTCGGCTCCCTCGAACTGAAACACCGTGTGGTGCTCGCCCCTCTCACTCGCTTGAGGGCTTCGGCTGTTGGTGGTATCCCCGCCGAGTTATCCATTGACTACTACGCCCAGAGAACTTCTGGTAGGTGCTCATTGGTCTCTCGTGATACGTTGTTAGCCGGCAAGTGCTTATCATCATCTATCTTCTAGACGGGGGCCTTCTCTTCTCCGAAGGAACTGTTGTCGCTGAAGAGGCCGCATGCTTCCCCTGTGCCCCTGGTATCTACAGCCCAGAGCAGATCGAGGCTTGGAAGAAAATCAACTCCGCTGTCCATGCGAAGGGCGGTAAGATCGTCTGCCAGCTCTTTGCTGCCGGGTCCGTTCTTCCTGTACTCGCCGAGGAAGCTTGTAACTGATATTTATGGCTTCATCAGCCGATCTACCATGCCTGGCGTCTCTTCCGTCGTCTACGCCCCTAGCGATATCCCCCTCCAGGGCGGCTACCAGAAGTTGATTGTGATGACCGAGGAGGACATTGAGCGATGTGTGAAGCACTTCGCACAGGCTGCGCGCAATGCTATAGAGGCTGGCTTTGATGGAGTAGAGGTACACGGGGCTAATGGGTAAGAACACCTCCCGAAGGCATCAGTTTGATAGCTGAACCTCTCCCACAGGTACCTCATCGACCAATTCGTGAGTCGACTCATAGAGCTAGCCCCTCCTGCCTCTACCGCCTTCTCGTTTGAGAACCGCAAGCTGACTGACTGGATAGACGCAACTTGTGAGCAACAAGCGCACAGACTCTTACGCCGCCTCTACCTTCCTTTTTCCTCTGCGAGTCACTCAAGCCGTCGTCGACGCTATCGGTGCCGACAAAGTGGGCTATCGCATCTCTCCCTTCTCCCGCTTCCAGGAAATGCGGGAAGTCGATCCCTTGGGCACCTTCATCCCGTTGGTTGAGAAGCTTCTTGAAGCTCATCCGGATCTTGCTTTTATTCATGCTGTCGAGCCTCGAACGGAAGGTACCGGCAGCGTAGAGCTCGCAAAGGCGACAGACTCTTTGGACCCCATTAGAGACATTGTCAAGAAAAAGGGAAAGGGAACGAAGTTCATCGTGGCGGGAGGGTACAATGCTGAAGATGCAAAGAGACACGCCGACGAGACTGGCGACCTGGTTGCTTTTGGGCGATACTTCATCTGTAAGTTTCCGTCTGGCGACAACGTTGAAGTAACAGAAGCAGAAACTGAGTATCCAATAGCCAACCCCGACCTTCCCACCAGAATTGAGCATGGCTGGCCTTTGAAAACATACGAGCGAGACACCTTTTACACACCCGGTCCTGTCGGCTACACTGAGTACGTTTCCTGTCATTCTTTTATACCATGTGCTGACAAGCGCAGCTACCCCTATTATAGTCCACTCCACCAGGAAGAGTCCTACACCTCTGGTGTACCTCAAGTTGTATAGAATCGAGGGTCGGGGTGCGTAATTCGTAATGCATTACTTGTTCGATGTGCGGGAAGTGGCTAGGACCATGCAAGTGATGGTCAGACATGTTTCAAGCCGGATCTAATCGACATAACGGCGAGCCTGATGCATGGGAGATCTCTCCTCACAGCGGGCAGTCACGATCAATAAACACCACAGTCGCAGACAAGTACTCGTAGTGCAGGCTTTTGTGAGAAGAAAAGACTTCCTGCGACCAAAATCAAGTTTTCCGGACACAATGCGACCATCTTTTCCGCCCTGGCCATAATGCAACTGGTGTCCCGATCTATGTGCGTTCACTCACTTGCGCGGCATCTTTACCTTCCAGACCAAACGAGGCACCTTGCTCAAGTCTGCTGATCGAACCTGGATCTGTTGCTGACCCTCGCATTCGATAACGCCAAACAATAGTTTTCAAGACAGCGATCATGCAACTCGATGTTCGCGTCATCACTTCGTCCGGCGTGGCTTTCTCGCTGTTGATTCGTTCGCTAGCAGCTAGCATCCCTGAGATCCCAGCGAGAGTTCAATAACAGTACGATCAAGGACCGTAACGGAACAAGATACCAGAGCAGCAGCATTGTCTCCCTTTGCTTTGATGAGCGTTGTTCATGTTGGCGGACCTTTGTCTTTTCATCATCCTTTGTGCCACTTCTTTGGCTAAGCTGACGCGGTGTACAAACATCTCATCTCATTTATGGGATCTACTAGGCACTGTTTGGTATAATGGCCCCTCTTCGTGACTCCCAATCTACCTACGAACCAACCACTGCTCCGCCAACCTCCCCCCCTCCTCACTATCGACCCCAGTCGGATATTTCGGACGATCTTCATGAACGTCCTTTCCAATATTCGACCGCTGGACCCCCCACAGTATATTCCGAGCTTGAGACAGCATGGTCTCAGCCTACCAGGGCACAATTGTCTCCCGGGCAGTCGCTACCCAGTGCCCAAAGAACCCCAATTGCCTATCACGACAGCCCCTATGGAGGTATAGAGGAAGAAGGTGAAGACGATGACCTTTATCACAGGAGCGACTGGGAAGATCACGATAACCCGAGAACGACTGCCACGCCCTGGTCGCGATCATCGTGGGCAGGACCCACGACTGGAGGGACCGGGATGTCAAGATGGGGAGGAGGTAATATTCTGGGGCGGGTACAGGAAGGTCAAGAGTGGATACCGCCTGTGCCAAGCAGAGCGTCTGCACCGGCCCTCCCTCCCAAGCGTTCACAGGAACAAGAAGTCGTATATGCGTACGAGCAAAACGGGATCATGGAGAGCCCGGGGATGATGACTCCCCACAATGTCGGCAGATACAGTGGCAGCTCACCACGTTATCGGTCTTCGCCTCAAAGAGTTTCACAATTCATTGAACAAGACCGTAGAGCGATAGAGAGGCAACGTGACTCGACTTTTCCTTCCATTGTGGACCTTCAAGACCTGGCTAGGCCAAAAGCCAGCGCCAGTTCTAGCAAAAGTATCGTCAGCCCTGGCTCCGCCGGCAGTGATCCTCCGATTCAGCAAGTGCAGCAAGCCCAGAAGCCTGCTCTTAATCGCAGAGGCCCGTATACCTATGAGACAACCCCCGACGCCAACAACACTTGGAAAACGAACCGAGTCTCAGGCGGGTCCCCCAAGCTGATGTCTCCCGAAGCTCAACAGAGACTTGGAAGGATGTCTATGGCTACCGCGCGATACACGTTACCACCACAAAGACACGGTGGATCAGAGCTCGGCCCTCATGGTACCCGGGAAGCATCGACTTCTGTCCCCTTCATGGCTCGTTCGAAAATCGGCGTAGTTTATCTTTCTTACCGACCCTTCATTGCTCCTTTGCTCACTCTCACGTGCGCTTTGATGCTGACAATCACGAATTCTACATCAACATCCTCCATCAGTCAGTTTCTGAAAATTGGACTAGGAGTATTCAAAGGTTCTCAAGGCGGAGGGACAGGGGCGGGCAATGGCATCACCTTGGGAGCATGGGGTTGGTGCCAGAGCGGGGTGAGCGAGTGAGCTTTACAACAACAGTTCTGGGATCTAGTCGGAGGCTGACATCACCTCAGCCCTCAGTGTGAATCATATTCTCGAGGAGATTTCAAGAATGAATCTGGCTCCTTCACTATCCCTGGCGAGTAGGTCAGACCCTCATTCCTTTTATTGCTATACCTGACGATGAGCAGCACATCCCTCGACAACCTGTCGTCCCTGTTGACATCCCTGACGGCCCTCACGTGGCTCCTTGCCGCCTACCAGATTATCACCGCCTTTCTTCATTTCTATCTCTTCTTTTCGCTGTCGATTCCATTCTCGCATCTCGTCACCATTCCGAAAGACGAAGTGGGGAAAGCAGAAGTGGATTTAAGAGCCAAACTGGACAGGCAGAATGACCCCTGGGGAGAGGAGCTGCGGGAAATGGGAGAAAGTGGTAATGAGGGTGGTGGATGGGTATGGTGGGCTTGGTGGGCACATAGAAGAAGTCCTCTGGGATGCTTTTTCGGATTTCTAGTAGGGACCTTGAGCATGAGCACTGTGAGTAATCGCCCATGGAACCTACTGAGGACTGAACTGAATAGAGCAGCTCGCTCTGACCTTCTTGTTCAAGAAAGCGGTGAGAAACGGCACGAACTCTGACGATGTGCATTTTGGGTGAGTTCATGACAAGTGGGAAGCGAGATGTTGACGGGTGCAGCGCGGGTACCTATGTTCCCCTCATAACCCTCATGGTGACACTGGATACGTTCATTCTCTCCATGTGGTACCTCATCAGTATTGTGAGTGTCCTCTGCGTACGTTGCGGCGCATTCTTATTGATGACCTCTCAGAGATCCAACCTCTCCACATTCTTCGAGCCCCCAGACCCGTCCCCAACAGCCCTTCTCCTCCCACCATCCGAAGCAAGACGTATGCACCACGTCCGTGACCACAACGGAGCCTCTTTCTTCGCTCCTCGATCCACTCATGCCGTGCCCGACACTGCCAACATCGGCGATGGCAATGAAACCAAGAGTATGTTTTACGATTCCAACGCCCCACCTCTTCCTGTGGCCGCACAGACTCCTAGGACGGAAGAGCTGGATCCAGAGACGGTCAGATGGCTGGCAGCTTATCCATCAGACGAAGAGCTTGTACCCCTTATATCGGACTTGAGAATGGGCAAGTTGAACGATGATTTCCTACTTTCCGAAGTCGGCTTGCTTTACCTTCGCCTTCTGGTCGAGGGCGAGGAAGGTCAGGCTTTGTTGGTGCCGCCGAAGGGTGCGATCAGACAGGAGCTTGTGGAAGACGCCCATCTTGATGCTTCTCCTTTCGGCGAGAAGAATGACGCTGTCGGAGGAGTGGCGCACAATGGCGCTGACGTGATGGCTGCCACTCTTCAGCAAACGTTCTGGTGGACCAGCCTCCCGTCAGACTGCTACGCTCACATATCCAAATGTCCTGTTTGTAGACAAAGACAAGAAGAGGCGGAAGCCATGGAGAGGCGGGAGAGGATGGAAGAGAAGGCGGGGATGACGGCGGTTCCATGGACCGGGATTACGGGCTGGACTGCTCGTGAGACAGAAGCAGGTGGTGGCGTCGGAGAGAGCGCGATGGCCGTAGAGATGGCTTACGCGATGCGAAAGGCGGAAGAAGAGGCGAACACGCTATAGAAAGTCGTATTGTTGTTGGCGGCGACGTGACATGAGTACATGTAAGTAGTATCTTCTATACAGGCGTAGATTAGAGCGGACAACATGATCGTAACAACTCTCCCGAAACATTATTCTCTCATTATTCTTCTTGTCCCCATCTTTGCCTTCTCACCATCGCCAGCTCCCCCAGCAACTTGTTTGCTTCTTCGTATCGATTCGCCACCTCTCTTTCCGCGTCGCTCTCAACCACTATCTCGACCTCAGCCTCCATTTCACCCATATCATCATCTTCACCCCTGAATTGATGCCTCTCACTGGAGGAGGGTATATCAGAAGGAGGTTGATTCGACGAGGTGGGGTACATGTAGGAGATGTGATTCCCCGACGGCCGAGCAGGAGTGAATGGAGAGGATTGGTAGGGTGTGCGATACGGGTGAGGGCTGACTTGCCCCGCGGCTTCCTGGGCAAAACGGGAGGGGCCAGGAGAGAAGAGGGTGGATGAAGACGCCATAGGGGTACGCCAAGGGTTGGAGGAAGAGTGCGAAGAGTATGACGGATGTGATTGCGGAGAGGCATGGGGTGGAAACTTCATTCTCGTCATGTGCTGCCAGTTGTCAGTCCATATTCCGACCGGCCATGGAAGCATAACGTACTAGAGAATGCAGGATTGAATTCTGCTCGGCATATGCTTCTCCCCAGTTCCGTACCATCTCCTCCTCGTCCATAGGTTCACCCATTTCATCTGGCGCAACCAGATCATCATTATTGGGCCTGTCCCTGAACGGCGAAGATGACGGCGGTTGATTCCGGATAGGTGACGAAGACATAAGAGGAGCTTCCCGCGTTGAGACTATCCTCGAAGGCGGAGGAGGGGTAGGGAACAGGAAAGCTGATGTAGGTTGTGTTTGATAGACACCGGCATGTGTGGTAGGTGTGGTCAGAGCATTCACAGGTTGCTGGGTCGCCTGATGTTGCTGAAGGGGCATAGGTGCGTTGATACGATTCCATTGCTTGGTTCGTCTCCGCTCGACGCCTATGCCCACTCCGGCCTGGTTCAACCCCGCCGCTCGCAGTTGGGCAGCGGAGCTGCTTTCCGCGTGCGCGTTGAGCGCGTGTTGTTGCCCGTAGACGCCATGCGGACTTTCGCCACTGTTAGGCGTATACGGCACACCGTTGCCTCCCTGCTGAAAGTAGTCAGGCTCATAGCCATGTACAGGCGACTGTGTCGAATGTGGTGTTTCTGGGAAGCCGAAAGGCTGTTGTTGATGTGTGTCTCTTCGCCGCCGCTTGAGCAGCACGTCCAGCGGGGATGCGATGTCTGGCTCGAAGGTCGGAGAGGGAGATCGCGGTCGCTTTGCCCTCTGAGGGAGCGCGATCATCTCTGGGGGCTGTCTGGGTGGAATGGTGAGGGCGATGGAGTATTGACGCCGGGAAGTGGAGATGCGGGAGATGCGGCCTATGGGAGCTGCAGATTTCAGGCCATAGCACAGCTGGGAAGGGGGGCTCTAAGGGGAGGGTATGGGCGGGTGTTTTCTTGACTTGCATGCATGGAAAAAAGAAAGAAAGAGAGAAACGATGCCACCCAACGGCGCATCATCCGTTCCTGAGCACTCTTTCAAGATTTCGCTGTTTTCGCGACGGGCGCGTTACATCTCCCTCTACATCTTCATCCAACCTCAGCATGGCCACCAACGCCCTCAAGCCGGGGGAGCAGTACATCTCCTTCAAACGCTCTCCCTCCCCCCTTCCCCCGCACGCCGAAAGCTCCAGCGCAGCCAAACGCAAGGCCTCAGACACCCCCATCCCCGGCGAGAAGGCCAAAAAGAAGAAGGCCAAGAACAACAAGAGCAAGAGCAAGAAGGGACCCAAGCAAGCGGAACCGGAAAAGTCCAAGAAGGATCAGAAAGAGCTTGCCAACAAGCAAAAGAAGAACAAGGAGGCGAAAGAGCGACGCCAGGCTGCAGCGAAAGGCAAAGCTGGCGTTGGCATTGAACGCGGGCCTCGGAATAAGAAGGAGGAGCAGAAGGCCGCAGAGAGACATGCGCCTTGGACAGAGCTGGTAGATGTCGACAGATGCCAGGATCCTACCGATCTGTACGTATGCTGTCGATTGAGCGTTGTCCACCATTAACGCAAGCCTCAGGTTGACCGAAGAGATCAACGCCTTTTACAAATACGTGTCGCCTACCAAAGAAGAGTTTGAAGTCCGACTGTTCATCATTGAGCTCATCACTCGAGCGATTGCAAGATTATGGCCAGAGGCTGAGGTCACTCCTTTTGGATCATGGCAAACACAGCTGTATCTTCCTCAAGGGTAAGTCGCGGTCGCAATGATAAAGTGCAATTGCTGATTCAAGACAGCGATATCGATCTAGTGGTCACACACAAAGAAATGTCGGACGCCAACAAAGCTCGCTTACTGGCAGAATTAGGCAAAGCAATGCGACAGACCGGCATCACAGACACGGTGGCTATCATTGCCAAAGCCCGAGTACCCATCATCAAATTTGTCACCCTTGACGGCAGAATCAATGTCGACATCTCTCTGAATCAGGCCAACGGTGTCACTGCTGGTAAAATTATCAACCAGTATCTTGACGCTTTACCTGGATCTCGACAGCTGATCCTGGTGGCAAAGTCGTTCTTGAGCCAAAGGTCGATGAACGAGGTGTATACTGGAGGTCTGGGGAGTTACTCTGTCATCTGCTTGGTCATCTCTTTCCTTCAGGTAAGCTTGCGTTGGTGGTCTCACATGACATCTAGCTGACTGTATCTGCAGGTTCATCCAAAGCTGCGGAGAGGCGAGCTGAACCCCGAACTCAACCTTGGAACCCTTCTCATCGAATTCTTCGAACTCTATGGTCGTAACTTCAACTACAACGATGTCGGCCTATCAATTCGTCGGGGAGGATTCTACTTTTCAAAGTCGGATAGAGGATGGATGAGGAACCAGAGTTTCCTGTTGAGTATTGAGGATCCCCAGGACAAAGGTGAGCACAAGAGTGTACGTATCTCATTCTCGACTGACCCTTCTCAGACAATGATATCTCTGGAGGATCATTCGGTATCCGCCAAGTACGAAACACCCTTGCAGGAGCATACGAGCTACTTTGCATGAGACTGTTCCAGCGGGCCGAGGATATGGCTCAAGTGCGTCGGGTGCATGGTGGGAAGGGTAGGGTGAGGGCACCTTGGCAGGATATGGACGGTGATGACTGGAGTATTCTGGGTGGAGTCATGGGAATCACTAAAGAGGTACGCGATAGCATACTCAAACCGAGACGCGCTGACAATATCTTGTAGACACTCAAACAAAGAGCGGAAATGCTTAGGATCCACTCTCAATCGATACTTCATCGCAAACTCAACATCCCACCCGCTGCAGACCCATCCCTCTACGTGAAACACTATCGACCCCCGCCCGTCATCTCTGTTCCCTCCGTCTACGCGCGCAAAGCCAGTCCACCACGGGAATTTGTGGGCGGTGCGTCGAGCAAAGGCAAGGGGAAGGGCAAAGATGTCGGAGCGATCATGGTGGAGGATGATGAAGTCAGTGAAGGGAGTGGCTCGGGATCCTCAAGCAGTGACGATTCGGACGACTCTGGATCAGACGACTCTGATTCTGATGCTCCTATCGCTATATCGCCACCACGACCTTCCAATCAGCGCCGTCATCTCCCAGGGGCGGAAGAGGGCGAGATTATTGAGATACCTCAGATCCGGCGGACGCTCGGGAGCGACGAGCCATCAGAGGACGACTTTGAGGTCATCAATGATCCTCCTGAAGAGTCTCGCTATGCCCTGTCCAAGACCAAGGATAAGAGTAATGGGTCTAGGGGCAAGAAAATCGATGCGTTCTCACATCCCTTGCCTGCTGAGGGTCAAGTAGACGAGGAGGAAGAAGATTCTGATGCGGAAGCCCTCCGTAAGATCATGGAGGGCAACGATTCCGACATCGACTTTGGCTCGGAGGATGAGGTAGCTGGTGGGAAGGATCTGATGGGGGCTATAGAAGTCTCTTCCGGAGACGAAGTGAACAGCAAGCCGGAAGGGAAGAAGAGAAAGCCCAGGCACAAAAAAGCTAGGCAGCAAGGGCAGCTTCAGCAACAGCAGAAAGCGAGGATGGACAAGCAGGCTTTCTGGGCTGCCAAGGGGCGCATGGGCGCTGGTAGCCGTGGAGCGACGGCGGAGGAATGGAGTGATTGATCGGATCAACGTTCATCATTGGTCATTTACATAGCCAACCATAGGTCATTTTCGGTTGGTCATCTGCATGTACAGGGCACACAGGCAATAATAGTATCTATGCTATATTCATCGTTACATATACCGCAATGTGTCTGATGGACGAAATACAGGCAACGCGGCGATGGATTCGGCGAGCCGGGGTGCGGTGGGGAAGGCCGAGGAATCAGCGAATGAAGTTTGATCCATTTCTCAAATTTCCATTGTTCGTCCATCACATCACATCGCCCCCTTTCAGCACGGCAGCGCCCATATTGGCTACTCTCCCACTCTGCCGAGCATGCCAGGCCGTACGCCCACCCCCGTAATCCTCTTCAAGACTCCCAATTCCTCTCTCGCCGATGATCCCTACCATGCCGCCCTTTCTCGGCCTGGTCTATCCTCGCAATATCAACCGCACTGGGTTCCCGTCCTCCAAGAGACCTACTCTATAGACGAGCTAGTTCCCTTCCTTGAAGACGGACCCATCCAGTGGGAGGGCATAATTGTAACCAGTCGCCGTGGGATGGAAGGCTGGGTCCGCGCCGTGCAGGCTCATCTTGCGCAGCAAAGTGGGCACAAAGGCAAAGGGAGGGCTGGGGGCAGCGAGGAGAATTGGAGTGATTTACCCCTGTTCTCGGTCGGCCAAGCATCAACAGAGCATCTAGCTGCTGCCGACATCCCTCCCGCGTTCAAGCCCACTTGCGTTCCAGAGATGCTCGGCACTCCGCCCAAATCTGCAGGACCCTTGTCGGATCTGATACTCAATACCCCGCCTCGAGGCCAATGGAAAGAGACGAAGAATGGGAACGGAGACAAAAAGGGACACAGGCCATACCTGTTCTTGTGCGGCGATAAATCGCTTGAAGAAATGCCAGCAACCCTACGAGCCGCGGGGCGGACTGTCAAAGATATCTTGGTATACACCACCTCCCCCCGACTAGGCATCGCGGAGACTCTTTCTTCTGTATCTCAATCCTCTCCAGAGCTAGGCTCGAAAGGATGGCTATGCTTCTTCTCCCCTTCATCTGCGGCCATCGTGGTGCCCCTTCTGAAGGGCGAAGAAAGCAAGAGATGGCAGGGATGGAGAGTGTTTGCAATCGGGGACACGACCAGGCGGTCTCTCATAGAAGATATGAGGGTCGAAGTCCATGCTGTGGCAGATAGGCCGAATGCGGAGGGCACCTTGCAGGCCATTCTGAGTGCTGATGAGGAGTCCAAGTAGGACTCAATTGTGAGTCGTCCTCTTTGACTGACCTTGCATGCTTTGTTGACATGAACACAGTATGTAGATACTAGATAACGACAAAGTAATGCCATAATGTAATACATTAACGACTATGATGTGTCATGGGACGTTGGAAGATCTTTCTCACTTGATCTAATCAGCCACCGCAGACCCAAGCGGCCCCTGCTATGCATATGCTTTTGGGGCTCGGTGCCCAAAGTCACATTGCCGTTCTGTCTGATAGGGCAGCCCAGGGATGCATACTGCCATCTGAAAGTCTGAGAAGGGACGTTTAGACAACGTTGACTTGAGCCGCGGGGGGCTTTCTGATGTGATGCAAACAACTCGCGCGACTTTCTTTCTTGCCTCTTGTTGTTGCTTTTCTCCCTCAAATCCTCCATTCCCTTTTTCCTTCACACACTTACCCCCTTGCGTGTCTTGAGCCACCCTCCTATTCCCTCCTTCCCCACGCCCTACGATATTCACCTGGCCGCCTTGGGATGTCCCTTGATGCGACCCACAAACAACGCGCCTGATTTCTCGTCCCCTGGTTCGTCTGACCATACTTCAAGCCCGATTTTCTTTTCGCTGACCCTTTGCATGAACAGTCTGAGGAACAATGTCTCCTCCTCCTCGTCGAATTCAATCCTCCACGACGCTCCAATCCATAATCATCCGCTCGCACGCCCCACCCCTCACGCCGCGCCAACTCGACGCAAACACCCACGTCCCCATCACTCGTTCTCGGTCCCGCTTCATCTCTGCCGCCCCCTCCCGAAACGAAAACATTAAACCTGCAGCTGCATCTGCCCCTGGGTTCTCGAAGAGTCTAAGAAGCCGCGGGCCTATCAAGGACAAAGAAAACAATAGCAGGGAGAACCTGAAGATGGGTGTCTATGAGGATAAGAAGGTGACTGGCAAACGGAAAGCTGGAGAAGTGGACGAGGGAGATAGGAAAGGGAAGGTCATGAAACTTGGGGAACAGCCAATTAGGAGGATGGGTCCACCACTCAAGGCAGTACCGTCCAATGGCAACATTGAGGTCCGGCAAACACTGCTAGCCCCACTCTCTTCTCCCAGAAGACCACAGCTCAAGGTTCAGGTGTCTGCTCCTCCTACTCCAGCGAGAGAGATATTGAGACAGGGCCTCTCGAAGAGCAAAGCTAGCCCGGAAAGCTTGGCAGAAGAGGACGAGTCTGCCTCTCTTATCATTGTCCGACCCCCGACCCCGCCCAGGAAGCATCAGCCCCTACAATCTAAATCTCGATCGGGGGATGAAGACTCTAGCATGGAGGAAGTCTCCAGCTTTGTGGCAAGACCCCCTACCCCTCCGCGTATGCGAGAACGACCGGCGTCCGTGATGCTATCTCCTCGTCCAGATGGCCAAGCGCTTTATGCTTCGCCCAATCGCATGAATGGCAGCACGACACCCCTTACGTCTCCTCGCCAGCTCACTTCCCATACTCATCTCCGATCCCCCAGAGGGCCACAGGCGCTTATCAGCAAGCCAATGTCACCCCGCCCCTTTTCTGCTTTCCACGCTCCCCCTACGCCCCCCAAAGCTTCCCCACACATGGCTGTTTCTACAACACCTACGACTCGACCAAACGTCAAGTCACCGCTTACTGCTCGGCGTATCGCAGCGGCGGCAAGGATGGCCAAAGAGACGGCAAGCTTGGATGTAGAGATGGCCTCGCCTTCGAAGAAGGCAGAGACTTTCCTTGCCAACACTCTGGTTCCGACTTCATCAGTGTTAGCTGAAGGGCCAGTGACCTTGGAAGAACAGGAACCGACTGTGGTCGCAGAAGAGACAACGTCTATAGAGATGCCTCAAGAACTGGCGCTCCCTGCCGAGAGCAAACGTCTATCCGAATTGCCACCAGCCAGATCTACATCAGGACCAGCTCAACTATCCAAGTCAGTCTCCTTGCGTAGCCTCCAAGGGGCAAGTGCGCCTAGCCGAATCCCCATCGGCCGAGCTATGCCTCCCATCAGAGAAACGCTTGCCCCGAGCGCGGGAGCGAAGAAGCCAGCGACAAATCTTGGCATCGTTGGCCCAGAGAGGAGCGCCCCGGCCAGCGGCGCTTCAACGATGAGTCCCCTGACTGAGGTGAAACGGAAACCATCATATCCGTCCAGCTTGGGCTCCGGTCCATTAGCGCGCCCCACGGCGCGGGTTGTCTCCAACCCCATGCTTCCTCCCCGTGACATCCCGCAGTCCTCTCAGTCCTCTCTCAAGTCACTCACCTCTCCTTCAAACCGCTCCGTTTCAAACCCGGGCCCACGGCCCAGGTTGAGTTTGAGCAGTAGCAGGCGAGAAGGGTTGTCGGATGAAACTTCCAAATCTTTGGCAGGACTGAGTTCCGCGTTGGAAAAGTTGAAGGCAAAGAAGCGATTGTCGAACAGTAGCTTGTCAGAGTCCACGTCTGAGCCTGCTAGGAGAATTGCGCCATCTGTGACAGTTTCTGCCCCTACCCGACCGCACATCTTCCAAGACCGTCCCAGCAACCTCTCCGCTTCCACTTCCACCTCTGCAACCTCTGCTGTCGCTAAACCAAGAACGTCTGTCTTTCCCAATGACATTTCTGTCTCTGCCGGTACCGGCGATACTAGTTTGGGGGATCAGTCGATTGCGGGAATGTTGGCCGAAGGAGGCGCGAGGTGCTTCAAAGGAGTGGTGGCATTTGTAGACGTGAGAACGAGTGATGGTTCAGATTCAACGCAAGTCTTTGCCAATATTCTGCGAGGTGCTGGCGCCAAGGTATGCCCGGCTCATTACCCTTTTGTTGACGCAGCTGATCGCTCGCAGGTGCTTACTCGTCCCGGCTCGACTTGCACCCACATTATCTACCGCTCTGGGCGCGAAGCGACTCTCAATTGGTACCGTCGTCAAGACGAGGAAGACCGTCCCAAACTGGTGGGTATCAAATGGGTGATGGACAGTAAAAAGGCAGGGAAGAGAGTCGAAGAAGACAAGTACCTAGTTGATCTGAGCGATGAGACTGTGTTTGATAAGGTGAGTAATTACGAGTTTTGTAACTGGAAAGTGTCTGATGAGCGATGGTAGAGGAGGAAATCGATGGAGCCAAAGAGCTTGGCAGAGTCAAAAGGGCTGTTATCCACGGCCACGAAGAAGAGGACTCGTGAGTGTTTGCTCTGCTTTCCACTCAGGTGACAGTCTAATATTTGCTTCAGTCTTGTCTGCCGCTGCAGCCGACGCCAAGCAGAGATCTATGGCTTCTTATGCTCGTAAGTTCCCCACCCCAGCAACAGCCCAGGGAAAAGTTGACACCGGTTCAGCGAAACGCTCGTCACCGTTGAAGAAGGCATTTCTGAGTCTGCCATCTTCATCCGATGCCGACACAAAGTAAGAGCACCGAGTCATCATCACGATGGGAAGGGGCTGTCTTGAAATTGAGTTGATTGTTGTACTATGTGTGCTGCCGTTTCTTTACGAACGTTATGATGACTCTGTGATATTTGGCGGCGTTGCGCCGGTCTTTGCAGAGTGGGCTGTCTCGGTCATCCTGAAGGTACATCGTATACGGGGAAAGAGCTACAATCCAGACCACTGGAGAGATAATCAGTACAGTGCGGTCGCTGAAGATAGGGTGAAATTATGTCTCACAGTCTCCAGAGTACAAGTACATCGTCGCCTGTAACCTCTCAACGTGGCGGCAAGGCATCTGGTTCGATAGCGACAGCTGCACAAGCTCATCATGTGTTGTAATGGAGATGTCCGCTGCCAAATGTGAAATTGATTCTCTTCCCTGCAAGTACCAGTCAGTTTGGGAACGCACTGCCACGAGGGCCACATCATGCAAACTTGCCGTTGATGTTCATGTACAAGAACTACGATAATCATCGTCAGTTTCTGCTCGAAGAGGCCAGGGATGTATGGTGACTCACCTTGGGAATGATGGTTATCCTTTTCCTGTCTGAGATGAAAAGTCAGCGAGGGGAAGGTCGACGGGACGGTGGAAAACTTACAGCCCCAGCCCATGGTGTATTATAGAGTACTTTGTAGTGCGTGAAGTTGGAAGAGAGTGATTGTACAGTTCAAGAGGACGTTGTAGAGATTGAAAGACAGACAAGACTCCATCCATTCATATTTATAGACTTGGGTTATCGATGACGATATGACGCAAAAGAGGGATCGCTCAGGTACAAGACGCAAAAAGCAAAAAGATTATGCCTCCGTGCCGATTCGAACGACAGACCTCCCCATTAGTGATAGAAATACTAGTGGGGTGTTATAACCAACTAAACTACGGAGGCTGATTGCATGTTTACGTAAACTGCACAACCTCACCATCTCAAAACGTTGAACATACACCGGGGTCTATTGTGGCTCACGATTTCATGATCTCATTTCAGACACGCATCACTACGCTCTCTTGACACTCGTTCACCAACCCAAATCATTGGATTCAGTGCTCCGACGATGTCCGGCAAGATATCATTCTCCTTCGGTGCCAAACCAGGAGATTCCAAGACCTCTACGCAATCTAAGGCGCCCGTTTCCAAAGCCCCTTCTGCTGCCCTCTTCGCGGACGAAGATGAGGGAGAGGACGAAGAAGGCGGTTCCTTTTTGGCCTCCAGCTCCGCCAAGGCTTCCAGTTCCTCGACGAAAAAGCACGCAGTCAAAGCACCCGCTATACAACAGTCCTCCCAAATATCCCGTGCTGAACGGAAAGCCCAAGCTACCGCCCGATCCATCGATCAATCCATATTCGACTATGACGCGCACTATGACCAAATGAAGGCGGCCGAAAGGGCAGTAGAGGAGGAGAAGAAGAAGGAAAGCGACGAAAGAAAGCCCAAGTATATTGAGAGCTTCTTGGCGTCAGCGCAAACCAGAAAGCTAGATAAACTTCGGGCTGAAGAGAAGATGCTGGAGAGGGAACGGGAGCAGGAGGGAGATGAGTTTGCGGACAAGGACAAATTCGTCACAGAGGCGTATAAGAAGCAGATGGCTGAGGTTAGAAAGGCTGAAGAAGAAGAGAAGGCGAGGGAAGGTGTGTATCAAGCGGCTAGCTACGTGGGAGATCTGGAGCTGACTATCAACGTAGAAGCGCTACGGAAAGGGCAGAAGGGTCCGGGTCTCACAGCTTTCTACAAGAACATGCTCGATTCCGAAGAGTCCAAGCATGCTGCTGCCGTTGCTGCTTCCGAGAAACCCACCATGGGCCCGTCTCTGGCCATTCGTCCTCCACCTGCTCCGTCAAAGCCTTTGTATGACGAGGAGGAAGAGTATGATCCATTCCTAGCCCGAGAAGCCAAGGATGCCTCTTCATCAACTTCTGCTGCTCCACCAGTGAATGGCCAAGGTGGTCTGAGGCAAGCCAGATCGACGAGGAGAGACGATGCCACAGGGAAGGAGGTGGAGATCAACGACGACGGAGAAGTCATCGACAAGCGCTCTCTGCTCAAGGCAGGGTTGAATATAATGAAGAAGCCGAAAACCGAAGTGCCCAACTCCCTCACTTCCTCGCAAAGAAGTGCCACTATTGATGGACCATACCAGTCCAAGGCTGTAGGGTCTGCGGCGAGCTACAGAGATAGGATGGAGAGGGAGAGACGGCGCTTGGATGAGCAGTATCGAGAGCTGGAGGAAAAGAAAAAACGGGAAGAGCAGGATAGGCTGCGACAGGAGGAGGAAGAGGCAAGGCGAAGACGAGAGGGTGACAATGGAGAGGCAGAGAGGAAGCGAGCTGAGGCGAAAGAGAGGTACCTGGCGAGAAAGAGGGCCAGAGATGAAGAAGAAAAGTCTGGAGTCAAGAAGGCGAGGGAGCAGGACCAGATTGGGTAGAATGCATGGCTTTCGTGAGCCTCGGTCAGCCAACATTCGGGATGCACGTTGGGTGATCGATCTGGAATGGAAAGTAATCCACGTAAGAAGATGGCGCCATTTTAAATTGGGGGGATGCCCTGAACGATCTGGATTTTTCTGATTCCGTCCAGCCAGTCGTCCCATCGCCCACGGTATTTCAATCTCTTTTTTCTTTTGCATCTCTTCTTTCTCCATCCCTCTTTTCTCCCACATCTATCAAAATGGTTCAGTCCGCTGTCCTTGGTTACCCCCGTGTCGGTGTCAACCGATCCGTCAAGAAGGTACGCGTCTCCCCGTCGCCTTGAACGCTTTTGAAAAAGCCCGGCCCGTCAGAATTCTTGAACATCTGCTAACATCTCTGCAGGCCATTGAGGCTTACTGGGCTGGCAAGATCTCCGCTGAGGAGCTCCAGCAGACCGCCAAGAACGTCAGGAAGGAGCGATGGGACGCCATCAAGAAGGCTGGTGTTGACACCATCCCTTCGTAAGTTGTATTGGTTGGTTGGAACGATGCCCTTGGCTGACATTTTGCGCAGTGGTGAATTCACTCTCTACGACCACCTCCTCGACCACTCTTTCAACTTCGGTGTCATCCCCGAGCGATACGTCCAGCAGAAGCTCGACCCCCTCGACACCTACTTCGGTGAGTTTACATCCGCATATTCTAGTACTCAGGCTGACTGTCTCATCTAGCCATGGGCCGAGGTCGTCAGGACCGTGCTAAGGGTATCGACGTCGTTGCCTGCGAGATGGGCAAGTTGTAAGTTGCTGTTTTTTTTTTTTTGTTCGGCGAACGTGCCTTCCCCCACCAGGCACCAGAGCTGACCCTGTTTCAGCTTCGACTCCAACTACCACATCGTCAAGGTTGACCACTCTCCCTCCACCGAGTTCAAGCTCAACAACAACCAGGCCCTTGCCGAGTACACCGAGGCCAAGGAGCAGGGCATCGTGACCCGACCCGTCCTTTTCGGTCCCATCACCTACCTCTCTCTTGTCCGAAAGGCCCGAGACGCCCCTGCCGACTTCGAGCCCATCCAGCTCCTCGACAAGCTTATCCCCATCTACAAGGAGCTCCTTTCTCAGCTCAAGGAGGCCGGTGTTGAGCAGGTCCAGCTCGACGAGCCCATCCTTGTCCTTGACAAGTCTGAGGCTTCCGGTGACCTCTTCAAGAAGGTCTACGAGGCTCTTGCCCCCGTTGCCCCCAAGATCACCATCACCTCTGCTTACGGGCGAGTTGGCAAGTCCATCGAGTACCTCAAGGACCTCCCCATCCACGCTCTCCACATCGATGTCGACCGTGAGCCCAAGCAGCTCGAGGAGGTCCTCGCCGCCATCAAGCCCACCAAGCTCTCCCTTGAGCTCGGTGTCGTCTCTGGCCGAAACATCTGGAAGAACGACCTCAAGGCTTCCAAGGCCCTCGCTGAGAAGGCCATTGCTGAGCTCGGTGCCGACCGTGTCTCCGTCTCCACCTCTTCTTCTCTTCTCCACACTCCCATCTCCGTCAAGGTCGAGAACAAGCTCACTGCTGAGCAGTTGAGCTGGTTGTCTTTCGCCGAGGAGAAGTGTGAGGAGGTAGCCCTTCTTGCCCAGGCTCTTAACGGTACCGAGGGTGCCGCTTTCGAGCAGAACACCAAGGACATTGCTGCCCGACGAGAGTTCGAGCGAACCTCCGACTCTGCTGTCCGAGACCGAGTTGCCGCTGTCACTGAGGAGCAGCTCAAGAGAAAGTCTCCCTTCCCTGCCCGTCGTGAGGCCCAGAAGAAGCACCTCAACCTCCCCAAGTTCCCCACCACCACCATCGGTTCTTTCCCCCAGACCAAGGAGATCCGAGTCGCCCGTGCCAAGTTCGGCAAGGGTGAGCTCACCAAGGAGGAGTACGAGAAGGCTATGGAGAACGAGATCAAGTCCGTCGTCGACTTCCAGGAGAAGGTCGGACTCGACCTCCTCGTCCACGGTGAACCCGAGCGAAACGACATGGTCCAGTACTTTGGCGAGCAGCTCGCCGGTTTCATTTTCACCCAGCTCGGTTGGGTTCAGTCTTACGGTTCCCGATACGTCCGACCCCCTATCGTTGTCTCTGACGTTTCCCGACCCGCCCCCATGACTGTCCGATGGTCCGCCTACGCTCAGTCTCAGACCGAGAAGCCCATGAAGGGTATGCTTACTGGTCCCGTTACCGTGAGTCTTGTATAACATACATTGATTTCCTGTCTAACGTTTCCTTAGATCCTCAACTGGTCTTTCCCCCGAGCCGATGTCAGCAAGGAGATCCAGTCCAAGCAGCTCGCTCTTGCTCTCCGAGACGAGGTCGTTGACCTCGCCAAGGCCGGTATCAAGGCCATCCAGGTCGACGAGCCCGCTATCCGAGAGGGCCTTCCCCTCCGAAAGGCCGACTGGGACAACTACCTCACCTGGGCTGTTGACTCTTTCCGACTTTCCACCTCTGGTGTTGAGGACGACATTCAGGTCCACTCCCACTTCTGTTACTCCGACTTCGGAGACATCTTCCCCTCCATCCAGCGACTCGACGCCGATGTCATCTCTATCGAGGCCTCCAAGGCTGACCTCAAGCTCCTTGACGTCTTCAAGGCCCACGGTTACTCCAACGAAATCGGCCCCGGTGTCTACGACATCCACTCTCCCCGAGTCCCCTCTGAGCAGGAGATCAAGGACCGAATTGCCGACATGCTCAAGGTCCTCCCCGCCGACCTCATGGTTGTCAACCCCGACTGTGGTCTCAAGACCCGAGCCTGGAAGGAGACTGAGGAGTCTCTTGCCAACGTCGTCGCCGCTGCCAAGTGGGCCCGTGAGAACTACGCTTAAGCGTCTTCTCTCTTGTAATCAATTAGCATTAGCATGAGCTTCAACACTCTTAGCATCCATCCTTTTCCTTTTAATTCATCTTACAATCATTGTGTGATATCCATAGGTTTTTTCTCTGTTTTGGAAATCTTTGTCATTATAGGTGCAAACGTCTTGGGGTAAGAGGCGTTTGGGGTGAGAGTTTCTGGTAGTGCACCGTTCTCTCAATTGTAGAAGTAGTCGCAGAAAGAAGTGAAAATGCAGTCTGTTCAACCGGCATCTTATTCGCATTGATTCAGGTATCAGTCACGTCCAGTCACGTCCAGTCACTCCAGACCCATATACGCTTGATACGTGCACAAATCCGCCCAAAAGCATAAAGGCATTCGAGCAAGAGCGAGGTGAGTGGACCGACGCGACCGCGACGCTGGACGCGACTTCTGACATCGTCGTTTGTCTGTCTGCGATTATTCTGCGACTGGTCATCGAATCTACCTCCCACCCGCACAGTATGCGCGTATTATAATGTCCTTCGCATCTTTTCCCATAGAGACGCTCGCCATCCCTCCCAACCTGCGCGATGCTGCTTTAAGAGGTGCGTATCATCTTCCGTCGCGGACATTGCGCTGATATACTTTTCTCACTGGCAGCCGACTTGACAACTCTCAAGATCTTGACATATACTCTGCCCCGTCTCGCGGACGCTCTCAAATGCAAGCCGCCCTTCGCCCAGGATCTCGTCAAGGCCGTCGCACGAGCTGTGGCCCCGAAGAGCGAGACTGCTTCGTCGATCTACAAGACAGAAAACTCAGCGCCTGCCTCGGAACTCGGGCCTTCGAGTAGGATTGGGAGAGGGAAGTGGTTATCAACGGGTGACGCAGGGTTTGACGAATGTCTTGGGGGAGGACTCAGGAGGGGAAGCCTGTATGAGATTACTGGTGAAAGGTATCGTCGATCTTTGAGCTGGATCGGCAAGACGCTGACGGAGACTACAGTGCATCTGGGAAATCCCACTTGATCCTCTCCCTCGCCATCGCTGCTCAACTCTCATCCTGCTCATCTTCACCCGGCTCTTCCGTGGTCCTGACTTCGGAGCGCGATCTCTCCACAGATCGCCTGGTCGAACTCTCCCGCTCCCTCATCGCCACGCACGAACCTTGCGCGCACCCCAATACGCTTGCAGCCGACAAGGCGATGAACAAGAGAGTTAAAGAGATTACAGACAATGTTCTGTCGAATCGTGTCGGTGATGTGGACGCGCTGGAACACACTCTGAGCTATGTCATACCGCCTCTGCTTGAGAGCAGAATTAAAGCCTCCTCTCGCCCCTCTGCATCTGGCAATCCATCCGCCATACCAGTCCGACTACTTGTACTTGATTCCCTGACTGCTCTTCTGCGTGGAGGCTCTACAGCCCCGAGCGATAAACCTACCGCACCCTCCTCGCTTTCGTTGACAGAACGCTCAAAACACTTGTGTATCGTCACCGACCTGCTAAAGGCTCTAGCAGTCAACTACGACCTCGCCGTCGTCGTGATCAACCAAGTCTCCGACGTTTTCATCCGAAATCTGTCCAATACACCTTCGTCTGGATACCATGGCACTCCAGTCACTGGCGAACCTCCTTCGAGCGGCTGGAACCAGACCCAGCCTTTTGGCCCGGGGATGACTGCATCGTTCAGCGCAGACTCTGAACCGCCCATGACCTACGCGCGGCAGTCGCGTTGGTTCTCTGGCCAAACGGAGGTGCTGCAGAAAGAAGCGAGCTTGGGGCTGGTATGGGCAAACGGCGTGAACGTGAGGGTCATGCTGTCAAGAACAGGGAGGAGGAGGATGTTGTATCAGAGTGATCTGAGGCCTGCAAGGCGGCGGAGAGGTGGTGATGATGAAGATGTCGAAGACGGACAAGCAGGAGCGGGTGTCGAGGTGGACAAGGCGGAACCGACTCTGATCCGACGGTTACACGTAGTGTTCTCTCCCTTCTCACAGTCGGCTACGATAGACTACGCCATAACCCCAAGCGGAGTTCATTCTCTACCTGGAAGCTACCAGAAGATCGACCCAGTCGCCAATATGCGCAAAAAGTGGGGATATGGCGATGTGCCGGCGTCGCAAGGGACGCTGGGGTCAGTGGAGGTACTGGGCGGAGGGACAAAGGAATCAGAGGCAGACGCGGTGTGGGATGGCGACGAAGTGTATGATGACTTTGGGGAACTGCCGGCTGAATTTTGGGATGGAGTGCTGGCTGAAGAAAATCAGGCGAGCGGACAAGGGCAGCCGGGGTGAAGCCAGAACTGGGTTGTGAGGTTGTATCATGATGGCTGGTATCTTGATGCCATGTTGCTGCTATATTGTGGAAACAGGGATACATGGGGGATCTTTGCGCTACAAAGTACTTTTTCCGGGACTATTCTATTCCAGACAAGAGTGAGATACAGAGAATGTTTTGCGCGCCTACGGCAGAGCACCTGCTGCTGGCTTGGTAGCATAAGTGCCCGAGGCGAACCCGCTGGTGGCATTGCCGCCTTGGGCAGCGATACTGGTGGTCTTCAAGCCAGAGCCGACCGTAGATGCCAAGTTGGAGCCAGATTGGCCAATATCTATACCGGACATCAGATGGATATTACCCGATGATTCGACTCGCACTCACCTTGGGCAACATCATCCGCCTCCTTGCCAGCATTGTGCTGGATGGCCTGGTGGCCACCGCTGCTGATAGCTCCACCCACGGTGGTGGCAGCTTCAGCGACTCCCTTGGCCGCAAATGTGACTTGCTCCCAACCGCTCTCTGCTGCCTTCCTGATCTGCCACTTTTCTGCTTCAGGCAAGTCGCGGTCAATCTTGGCTGAATTGGGGAGGGCGGACGCAACAGATGAGCCGGCAGAGTGGACAGCGTTACCAACAGCAGTGGCACCGTCGCTGGCAGATGCCGCGATGGAAGAAGTGGTGTGTGAGAATGATTTAGCGGATTCGACTTCGCCTCGGGTGGGCTCCACAGTGGTTCCGGGTTCGGTGGTCTTCACATGTCTGAGGGAAGCATCGTCAGTCGGCAAATCAAGATACATCCAGGAATCACGCCTACTTGTCTGCGTATCCGTGGATCTTGGTAGCGAGAGACTGCCCGCCAGAGACAAGACTATCAGCGAGCGACTCTCCCCAGCCCTTCTTGACAGCGGGAGAGCCTCCAGTCTCGTATTCGTCGTCTACAAACAAGATCTCGGCCTTCCAAAGACCGTGCTCTTTCAAGATTGCTTCAAGCCTGGTGCAGAAGGCTTCAGTAGCTTCCCATTCGCCTGGGTTGGTGCTATTGGAGGTTAGCCGCTGCTCCGAGTATTAGGGAGCTGGGAACGATCATACCTGTGCTTCATGGTGATTCTGACCTGCCCGACAGAGGCCCCAGCCTCCGGCGCCTGGACGCCGAAAGCATAGGTGGGGTGCTCGTCTTTGCTCTGCACTTTCTGGACGGGATACCTCTTTGTGAGTGGGAAGGAGGAGGAGCCGACGTTGAGGGTGAGTGTCTCGGCCGGTGTGGTGGGCGGGGCAGCTGGGAGGAGGACGAGGGATAGGTCGCCGGAAGAGAGGGGGAGGGGGGAAGAGGCAGGAGTGGGGAGGTGGAATGCGGCGACGGCGGGGATGTCTATAAGGGTGGTCATGGTGGGCGTGGAGTTGGATAGAATTGCAGAAGAGAAAGTGAACCACAGCACGTAGTAACCACTCGGACCGAAAGGCATCTACACGTCATATTATGTAACATTGCATCGCAAGTTGACAAATGCATGAAGCGTCAAGGATGGGCACGTCCTGGCTGGGCAATGCATGATGGATAGGACATGTACGTTGACCATGCATACCATCCACGCATCTATCGCAAATGAAGTTGACTGGTCATCTGGGAAGCAACACCCCAGTCGGGAAGTTCGCCCAGGCACGCGCCGAGCTGCTTATGCAAGGCTTCACATCTCGTGCCGTCATCACCTCTCCTATATATATACGCAGTGGCCAGTCGTTTTTCCTCAACAACCACATGCTCGCAAGACGCATTACAACGAAGACAGCATACTCGAGAAACTTTTACACCTTTGCCACCCAGCATACATCAATTGTCAGACAGATCCCTCATCGCAACCCGACGAAACTTCAATCCCGCACCATGGTCATCACTAGCTTTGCGGACAAGTCTGCCAATTTTAACAGACAAGTCAGCTCTTTCCGAGACATCATTGAACCGGGAGGAAAGTTTGCGCCCGAGAAAGGTAGATATTTACTGGCGGCTCTGGAGACTTGGGGTCCATCTACATGTGCTAACGAAAGTATCAGGACGCTACCACCTCTATGTCAGCTTGGCATGCCCTTGGGCCCATCGTACATTAATCGTCAGGAAGCTGAAGGGCCTTGAGGACTACTTTGGTGAGCTCATCATACATCCCCGTCGCTCCCTGATTAACAAAGGCAGATGTGTCGGTCGTCCACCCCCACATGCTCGAGAAAGGCTGGCAATTTGTCCCCAAGGACCTTGCCGACGCCAAACCTGCCCCCGCCTCCGAGCACAACAACGAAACCTTCCCTAACGCAACCGTCGACCACCTCTACGGCTCTTCCCACATCCGGGATCTCTACTTCAAGGCCGACCCCGAGTACTCTGCGCGATTCACGGTACCCATCATCTGGGACAAGCGAGAAAAGACGATTGTCAGCAACGAGTCGAGCGAGATCATCAGGTTTCTCAATACGGCCTTCAACGCAGCATTGCCCAAGGACAAGGCGGAGATTGATATCTATCCTGAGGAGCTGAAGAAGGAGATTGACGAGCTCAATGAGTGGGTGTACAATGACATCAACAACGGTGTCTACAAGAGCGGGTGAGTTTCGTAATGCCCTTCATGGTGTGATGTCTGACGCCTCGTACAGTTTCGCTACTACACAGGAAGCCTATGAGAAGGCGGTCAAGCCTTTGGCCAGCTCTCTTGATAGGGTCGAGAAGATCTTGAGCGACGGACGAGAATTCTTGATCGGCGGTAAGTTGACCGAAGCCGATATCAGGTAAGTTCTTCTCTATGAGCCGTTGAGCTCTTGGACTGACTGTCCGTCTTTCTGTAGACTCTTCACTACGATCATCCGATACGACCCTGTCTACTATGTTCACTTCAAGTGCAACTTTGGTTCCAGTAAGTGCCCATCATCCGTCCTTGACCTTTAGAGCTGACGAGCTCGCTCAGTCCGACACGACTATCCTTACTTGCACAAGTGGCTTCAGAAGCTGTACTGGAACAACCCCGCTTTCAAAGACACCACCGACTTTGACCGTGAGCCTTTTTTCTTTGCCTGCTCTTGCGCGAAATTGAAAAGGGACTGACAATCGTCGACAGACATCAAAGAACACTACTACTACTCGCATATCAACATCAACCCTAACAGGATCGTTCCTTTCGGCCCCAACGTCGATATTGAGCCTTTGAAGTAGTGGTGAGAAGGGCGAGAGTACTTAGGAAACGAAGAAGTGTATAATTGGTAGTCGTACGACTAAGCCAGATAGGGTCATTTCGCCAGTTGTCAAGCATGCAATCCATCAATTCATTGCGTCTGAAGACTCTCCGTATCACAGCAGAAACGAGGAGAGAGCACATGCCGTCATGGTCCTTTTGCTGACCCTGCCAGGGATGATAAAAGTTGAAAGGCGGTGGCGGCGTATACACGTTGATCGAAGCCGGAATACATATCGTGACGAATATCGGCATTATGAATGCAATATATGTAGGACAATGCGAGGGAACATAAATTCAACATTACGAGACACACTCAGCACCACTCAACCTCTCTTAAGCCTGACCGGGCCAGATGGAGTCGGCGACCTCCCTAACAAGCTGCAACTTGTTCTTCATATCCTGCCACTTGATGGCATTACCCTCCTCGTGGCTCGCAAATCCACACTGCGGGCTCACGCCAACCCTCTCCAATGCCTGCTCCCTCGTCTGTCCCACACCCTTCGCCATCACATCCACAGCCTCAAACACCCTGTTCTTCATCTCCTCCTTGTCCTCGAGCTCGGGGAATTTCGAAGTGATGACACCGAGAATGACATTCTTGTTGGCGGGGAGGTGGGCGAGGGGAGCGAAAGAGCCGGCACGGGGGGTGTCGTACTCGAGGTAGTAGGTGGAGACGTCGAGCTCCTTGAAGAGCTTGGTGGCGATGAGGTCGTAGCCACCTTCGGAGAAATGTCTGGAACCACGGAAGTTGCCTAGTGAACATTGTCAGCTGATAGAGCGACTATCAAGCGAAAAAGTAGAGACGTACCTCGGCAGATGTGAAGACCAAAGTGGATCTTGTCCTTGTGCTGTCCAATGGCGTCGTTGTAGCACTTGATGTACACATCGAGGAGTTCGTCAAGGGTGCGCTTGTTGGTCTTGTCCGCCTTCCATCCTTCAATCATCTTCTCGGAGCAGAAGTCTGTACACCTTTGTCAGCAAAGGTACGACGACAAGTTGCTGCAGTACATACAGGCAAAGTTGGGGTCGTCGATCTGCACGTTCCTGACACCAGCCTCGTACAAGATGTCGAGCTCAGCTCGGTAAGCCTTGGCGATGTCGGCAAAGTACTCCTCGTCATTGGCGTAGACGTCGGCAGGGTAGGCCTTGCCTTCTCTGTACCGAAGGTGGTACCAGACGGGGCTGATCATTGTGAGCTGTTTCAGCGTGTTAGCACAGCATGTAACGGACAGAAGACAAAGGAATCCCGAAACCTACCTTGACATCGCCTGCCCGCTCAGCAGGCACCTGACTCTTGGTGAAAGAAAACTCGTCGATGAGTGTGCTCTTGCCGGTGTGCTTGATCTTGCCAGTACAGAGACAGCTCTGTCCGGGCCTGTCGCCCTTCTCGAGGAAACCGGCAATGTCGGGAACATAGGTCCTAAAGATGTCGAGAGGAGGGTTCTGGACCTCAGTCATGCCCTCAAGCTCCTGGAAGAAGGATCCCCAGAAGACACCTCGCCTAAGCAACGTCAGCTAATGCTGTCCAGTGACCAAACCCCAGGGAAGCTCACCTGTACTCTCCGTCAGTGACGGGGCTGAACCCGAGCTCCTTCTGCATGTCGACGGTAGCCTTCACGGCTTCATCCTCCACCTGGTTCAACTCGGCAGCAGTGATTTTGCCAGCCTCTCGGTTGGCGCGGGCTTCGAGGAGAGTAGCGGGCCTGAGGAGGGAGCCAAGGTGTTCGGCACGGAAGGGGGGGCTAAAGTGGACCATTTTAGGTTGAAGAGATTATCGGACGACGATTTTGAGAGCGAACAAATAAGACAAGCAATAAATAGACTTGAAAAGCTGGAGTCGGCTATGGCCGCTCGCAAAATCGCGAGCTGTTTAATTAACCGAGTGAGACTGGATCCGAAGAAAATTGGCCGATAAGCGGCAGCGATCTTACTGCGTTTTGTTTGGTTTCACTTGCGCCGGCTGATGATGTTCAGCGTCGTCACCGACGGACAAATTGTACTCACGAATGTCGGAAGTTCAGTCTTTCCACCACAGGCAAATACCATGCTCATATGGATGGAAATGAGACTCACGACGGCACGTAAGTGTCATCCAACATTGACGTTCAAACGCGAAGGAGACGGGGACGATGCCATATCAACGAGCTGCTGTCGAAATGTCAGAATGGGTCCTGTAACATACGATCCAGTGATTGAGTTGCATTAGACAGCTGGCCGTAAGGGCACCACCAGCACGCACGTGCGGAGTGCTAGCAGTCTAAAGCCAGATGGAGGGAAGCCGACAGAGCTCGCTCACGACGAGAGGGATGGCGCATGATAAATGTCGTCCGGGATGGATGTAGAGATTCAGAAGAGAAGGAGATCCTCTTTGTTGAGTTGGTTCGCATGCTTGACGGATGCTACTCGTAATGACGTCACACTCGGACATACCACTCTTTCGGACACTTGACATCTTTTTGAATATGTATAGAAAAACTGCATTTGCGTGACAACCATAGCATGCATGGGTATAATACATTATAAAGCCCTAGGGGGGGCTGGCTTCTGACTGCTTGCCAGCCTTTGACTGAGCTCCGGCCCTCCTGACTGGCACGAGACGCTTTCGTTTCTCATTACTCTCTTCCTCTCTTTCCTTCCTCTTCCCCAATGATTCCCTGTTATTCTCCTGATAATATGGTTCATCAAACTCGCCCGAAGGCAGAATCACCTTCTTCCTTCCCCCCCTTGTTTTTTTGTCAAGCTCTTGAGCAGCCTGAATGCGCTCCTTCTCATCCTGAAGTAGCTTCACCCTCGCCAAAGTCATTTCAAGCCCCTTTTCGGTCTTTTCGAGTACCTCAAAAGCGTCGAACTCTCCTCTTCGAACGGCACGGTTGTTAAGGCGTATGACGCGGACAGAGTCAGGTGTAAGAGGCTGACCTTGGGATGTTTTTGGAGGGGGTGTTGAGGGCCGGGCGCCAGCATCCCTCATATCGATCTGGCGGTTGGGGATATCTTTGACCTGTACATGCAATGAGTTAAGCTTCAGGGGTCTGCCATGCACTTACAAGTCTGTCGGCGCCTTCACAGTTCTCTTCTGTATTGGCTTGGTGCCGCCCGTGTTCACTATGACCATTGAAGCAAGACGCAAGTCGATCCTTATGTCGCCGGATGAAGCGATCACCCCAATGAATGCCAACTTTTTGCCCATTAAGCTTCTCTGCTAGCTCTTTGATATGACCCGGGGTAAGCAAAGTATCCTTGCTGGCGTAGTCATTGATCTTTCGGATCAATTGCTCCTCCTGGACTTTGCTGAGGATGTGGCGAGCGCCGTCTGAGCGTAAGATGTGGATGCCTCTTTGCCGGTTAGCCAAGGTGGATTTTGGGACTTGAAATTCTCGAGCTATCTGTCGTATGCTCTTGTTGGGGTGCTCTTTGATGTGTTCGATAGCAGCAGTGATAGGGCTTGTCATTTTGGATGCATGGTAGAAAGAAGTCTCAGAGGTACTATGGATGAAAGGTATGTCCGAGTGTGACGTCATTACGAGTACTTACAGCTGTCTTTCGGCTCAAGGAACAGATTCCCCGTTTATTTTATCTGGACCCCCATCCAGGCAAGCTGATCGGCGGCCGGCCTCGTCTCGGATCGCCTTCAGTTGTTGTGGCCAAGTTGCAATTGCGTTCATCCTCCTCTTCTCCATCCCCGCCATGTCCACCCCCTCCTTCCCCCCGTATCTCACATCGGGTGCATCCTCCAGGACACACCATGCCCTCCTCGCCCAGCTCAACCAAGCTGCATCACCCCACGAAGAGGATGCCATCATCACAGAGCACCTATCTCATGCAAAAACTCTCTTTCGCTCGCAGGATCAGAACACAGTGAGGCACCCAAGTACCTCAACATCTAGATACTTTACTGAAAAGATACAGTCAAGAGTAGCAGAAACGCTCATCATGGTCCTACATTGCACCGCACTACGCCATGACTGTAGCGATGATCTGGACTTTGTGCTGATCCCTGCACTCAAATTGGCCGAAGGTGGGAAGAGTGTGCAGGAGAAACGTATAGGTTGGTCTTCATATGAACAACAATCTTTTGCTGATTCTCATTCCAGGTTATCTTTACTTGACGGAGAATCTACCGCGAGATCACGAGCTTCATCTGCTTTTGATCAACACAATACGCAAGGTGAGCGAGCAACGAGAGACCTGATCTCGGCGCTGACGCGTTTATAACCTACTTTAGGACCTCTCTTCGACGAAAGAAGCGCACGTTCTGCTGGCTCTGCAGGCCATTGTCAAGCTGTCTTCTAGAGACCTGGGCCCGGCGGTTACGCCTATCCTCATATCGAAAGCGCTCATTCGGCACCATCTGTGCGTGCCTTCTTTGACGCATACCCCAATATCTGACGACTATCTAGACCCTCCATCCGGCAGCGCGTCTACGAATCTCTCAGATCACTGTATCTACTCTCCCCTAACGCAGCCCACGAGCCGGAACCATTTCCTCTTACCATGAGCAAGCTCGTCAAAGCACTAGGGCAAGAAACCGATTCTGGCGTCTATACTGCCATCCTGAGACTCCTTGGTGGCTTGATTCAGGTGCGTATGCAGCTCTACACAAGTTATGCAGCCCCTGATGCTCGACGTAGAGGAATATACAGACGGTGACCACTGATGCTGAGCAACAATATATCATTCAGCTTGTGCTAGATCGGATAGCCGAAAGACAGGTTTTACTGGAGGGACAGATGTCTCTACAAGCTTTGTCATTGTTCCTTACTCTCTTCAAGACACGACCGTTAGTCTCAGAGTGAGTTGGGATGTCTACTATGTTACCTGATGCTAATCAAATTCTCTCCAGAAACGAAGTTACTGACGAACTCTCGACCTGGCTATCGAATATTATACAGCCAATCTCTAACGGATGGCAGGGCGGTACGTCACCTCTCCTGACCGTATGCTGGCTTGACGCTTAATTATACCCTGTAGCTTTCTTGTTTGAATCATGTCGCCTCGCCTCTCACCTTCCCAAGATAGCCCCCGCATGCGTCCACAGCGCCACCCAGCTCCTGTATCTACCCTCACCATCGTCCCATGGCCACCTCACACCACAGATCCCTTCGCCCAATGACCATGTCTTGGCTTTGAGATGCCTGATGCTACTGCCCAGAGAAAGCTGGGATGGCAAGTTAGGTGAAGGAGAGATGGGTGTCATCATGGAAGGTGTCAATAGTGTGGACACTAGTGTAAGGCGATCAGTATGTCCTCTGCTATCTGTCAGACATAGACCCTGACTGGACATAGACTATCCGGCTACTCGACTCTCTTTCGCCTGATCTTCCCCGGTCAATCTTTCAGCGCTATCTAGAGTCCCTCGAGTCAAACAGCGACCTGTCTCTACCGATGAACATCCCTGCGGATGCTCCTCTTGCCTCAAAGGTGGATCTGGCCAGACGAGAAACCGCGAGGAGAGCGCTTGAAGTGCTGGAGGTCACATCCGCAGAAGATGGAGAAGTATACGGAGAGGGCGTGGCGCATTTGCTGCTAGCTTTTGAAGGTGGGCAGAAAGAAGGCACTATATGGGAAGAGCTTTTGAGGGGTGTCATGGACTTTATCGTTAGCAGTGAGTCAAAGGTGTCATATATACTAGTCCGAGAGCTGACCACCCTAGCAGAAGACGACGGAAAGTTCATACACCCATTCTCCTTCTCATTTCTATCCAAACTATCGGCCGCAAAACCTGAGAACTACGGCCCCACGACAGTTACTATAGCATCCACCCTCGCATGCTCTCATCTTCCGTCAAACGCCAGACCCATGGCATTCTCTTATCTCCTCAGAGTTCTCCCACAAGTACCGCCGTCAATTCAAGAGCTCGTCCTGGGGGCGCTCACGGGTTATATGATGGGCGAACATGACAGAGCGGAGGATCAAGAAGTTGTCAGTGCTGTGAGGAAGGTCGAAGAGACGGCACCGCGTTATCTGCAAAAAGTGAGCTATCTTATGTTGCATGCTAGGAGCCAAGAGTACTGATGTTATCCAGCGGTGTGCCGAAGTGGTTGGTGTAATTGATCACAGTCTATACCAGGACGTGCAGCAACAAGCTCGATCAAACAAGGTACGTTCGACCGCAGATACATTTCTTTCATAGCTGACATACGATCAAATATAGCTACCGGACATCCTTACTGCCATCAAAGAAGTGTATAGCAAGTTCAGAAAGGAGTTGTCCACGGATATGCCTTCAGGAAGCTCTTCGACGCCGCCTTGGACGGTCACCTTTGAGACCCCAAAGAAATTACGGTACAATGCTTATGAGGCGCCGCAAGCAAAGCCGCGGTAGCTGTTTGGCTATAGATCGGTATACCGAGTCCGAAAGTCCTGCGGCAGTATATATTGTACATGTATCTCTACAGGTTCATATGTATGCAGCTTTTGTCACCTTTTTAATAGACTGCGTAGCAAGCGACAGCCGAGAGACATGAGAAGATGCAACATGTGCGGAACAGCCCAGGTCAGTGGACATGTCTGTCCGAGTTGGCACACGTGTCTTACGCCCATGGGCATATGACTCACGCATGACGACAACGTTTCAATAAAGACTAACATCCTTGACTTATCTTACAATTACACACATACTTGTATATAACCGAAACCGATACCAATTCGGGACCTTCGACAATTACTTCCTACTTCGCGTAACCCTCCCAGACGGAACAGGCAACCCAGAAGCTCCTGCCGTGGCAGCCCTTCTCTTCACGACTGGCTTCTCATCCTTCCCCTCAGCCAGAGTCTCATCGTTCTCCTTCTCCGTGATCTTTGCCTTGGTTCTCCTGACAGGTGCAGAAAGCTTCTCAGCTGGGGCTTCGGCGCTATCAGAAGCCTTGGAACGAGTAGGGGCAGAGACTGTTCGTCGACCGGTAGTCGTAGCAGAAGGAGCGGTGGCAGCAGCTCGCTTGGCTCGGGTAGGAGCAGACTTTTTCTCTTCGACAACCGGCTGCTCCTCAATTTGACTCAGGACCTTCTTGGCACGGGTCGCCTTTGAGGGCTTCTCCTCGATAATATCTTCAATTTCAGCCGAAGCCTTACGCGTGGACCTGGCGGACACCGATCTGCCTTTGGCAGCAGGCAGTGCTGGCACAGGAGGCACGTCATCGGCCACAGGGTGATCCTCAGGCTCGGCAGTTGACTGAGCACGAGTAGCACGCGACATGCCACTTCCAGTAGGCTCATGGCTTGCTCCTCGACGACTACGAGTCGATCGAGAGGTAGGCTCAGGTTCAGTTGCGGTGACAGCAGCCGCTTCCGGATCAGCCTTGCGAGTAGCCCTAGAAGGCTTGAACTTTGGCTGAGGAGCGGCGGTAGCCTTCCGGGTAGTAGTTCGTGAAGGCTTGGACGAGCTCTCTTCCACGGCTTCCACGGCGGGAGCCACACGTCTGGTCCTAGCACTGGTAGAGTCTGCTAGCCTTGGAAGCTTGGTAGCAGCTTTCCCCGCGACCCTGACGCCATTTTCTTCCTCCTTGACTTTATCAGCCATCTCGACATCAACCCCAGTCTCCTCCGTCGACGAATTTGCTTCTCCAAGAGCCTCTTCGACCTCTTCCTCATACATCTCATTCAACCCTTCCATATTCGGCGTCTCTGAAACCTTCATCTCCCCGAACATCCTCTTCACACCGACCAGACTTGGCGTCTGGGGCACTTTGCTTTCAGCCAGCATCACCTTGACACCGGTAAAGTCTGGTGTCTGGACTTCCTTTGGCTCGGCTAGCAGAGATTTTACGCCGGTGAGAGAGGGCGAAGCTGTGCGTTGAGGAAGGGGAGGGTAGAGGTGGCGAATACCCGAAAGATGGGGAGTCTTGGCGGCTTGAGGTGTCTTCATCATCTGCCGCAACCCGGCAAACGAGGGGGTGGAAGGTCCAGCCTGTTGACCGACGCTCTGGTTGGGAGTAGGGGACGTCACTGTCTGGGATTGTGTGGCAGGCGTAGGGCTTTCGTCCTTCTCGTCCTCTTGCATATCGTCCGGTGACGTGGCTTGCTCTGCTACCAGCTCCCGATTCAGCAAAGGGAAGATGGGTGTGCGGGGTGCTTGATCCATTGTGCGATTACGCGCAACGCTCAAATAGCCTAGTTGGTCAGAGCCAGAAGCCTTCTGCGAGGGAGTGCTAGGAAGGGCAAAGCCAACGGTAGCTCGTCTGTTTGCAGGTTTCGCCCCACTCCGCTGCACGCTTTGCCTCCTCATACTGTCAAGCCTCTTCTTGATATCAATGAGCGGTGTACCAGGTACATCGCGCTTCTGCTGCGGCTGTGAATGAACTGGGGCTTCCTGCTCCTCCTCAAGATCAGATTCCGGCTCAGGCGTATGATGGGAAAGGGCAGGGTGGCTGGGGGTGAGGTGGGTGAGTTTGATCTCGCGGACAGGGTTTTTGAACCCGCTTGCAGGCATGGGGGGAAGGGTGCGGGGAGTAGCAAGGGCTTCATGAAGTCGCTTGGCCTGGTTCCAGAGTTAGCCCAGTACCGTTCGCTGTTTGGTCCTGACTTACCTTGGCGATGGCAGCGGCAGACTTTCTGGGAGTAGACTTGACTGGAGTTATCGCCGGCTGCGGTTTGACTTCCCGCTCCTGCTCAACTTCTTCCACCTCTTGCTTGGGTGCACCGAGGTCAAGGCGCCTGCTGGGCTTGCCAAGAGACCCCGGAGTACGGCCACCGTTGAAAGGTCTATACGAATCGGGAGTCACAGGCACTCTCATGGGAGGTCCGAGGGAGCGACGCATCTGGCCGAAGCCGGAGCTATGTTTAATTTGAGGAGTAAAGAATTTGTTTGTCGCAATGGAACGCTGACACGACAGGTCAGCCTAAATCTGTATCATGTGACGGTATCCGACTTACAGCTTGAGGTGTCCCAGGTGAAGATGTGGCCAGGTCGTCCTCTTCGTCGAAATCCTCTTCCGGAAGCTCATTGTGTTCGTCATGCTGGTCTTCGGCCGCCTCCAGCTCCTCTCGAATTGGACTATCGTACTCCTCGAACGATTCTTGACCGTGAAGTTCATTGCCTTCTGTCTGAGCAACAGAGTCCTCGGCGTCAGCGTCCGGTTCGTTGATGAATTCCTCTTCGAGTTCATTCTCCAGATCGTCCAATCGAATGACGCCTTGGCCGGGCTATTTCAAAGTCAACTGGGGGCTCCAAAATATAGGCGGGCAACTTACAATGTCCAGAGATATATCGGCAGATTCCAGACCGCTCGAGTCAGAGTCAAAAGAGATGTCTGCCTGTCCATCTTCGAAGACAATTCGGAGCTGACCATCGCCCTCGGGCTCAGGGTCCCCAGCCGCCTCTTCACTCTCGACCATATCCACATCCTCGTCGCTGCTCGAATCGGGCGGTGGAGGCGCATCCTTTGGACTTGAGCTTTTCCTCCTCGACCCATCCCTAGGACTAGTACTCTTGCGCCTGATTTCGATATGCCCATCCTGCATCGCTCCATCAATACCTGTAGCATGCGTCTCATGCCACACCTTCCGCGCTGAACGTAGTAGAAGTGCTTTACGCAGGGTCGCCGGTCCCTTGGGGGTGGAGAGAGCGACGTGGGCGGGGACGGGGACGGGAGTTACAGGAAGCTTGCGGGGAGACCTGTGGGGGCTGGAAGGAGGGGGAGTGGAGATGTCGAGAGGTTTGTTGCCGGCGGCTTGATCAGTGAGCGTGCGAGTGCGGGGAACGGCACTTGTTTTTCGCATAGGTGCTTTTCCTTTCGGTTGAGGAGTCATGAAAGGGTTGGTCTGGATGGCAGAGGACTGAGCCCTTGCATTAACGAGGCACAATGGACACGATTGGTTGCCACTCACTAAAGTCTCCTCTTCATCCTCCTCGTCCTCCGCCGCCTCAATATAAATCTTGTCCCCTCCATCACCTTCAGTCACCGCGAGAAGCGCGTCTTCGGCCTCTTCCTCCGCCTCAGCATGCATCTCCTGGGCAAGCTTGGATTTGCTCCCACCCGCGCCTTCGCCCAGACCACCGAGGCCCAAAGTACTGTGTCGTCTGTTTTTGGCAGGGGATAACGCAAAGGGAACAAAGTTTGTACCGGCCGGGACAAGAGACATCCTGTAGGACGATCTTTTCCTAGCTGGGGAGAATGTGATGGGAGGGATTTTGGCGGGAGAAGCAGACGTGCCAGACCTCGCGGGAGTTGCTGCTCGAACCGCTGGCGACATGGGTACCTCTTCTTGAGCAAATGCGTTGCCGTAGTTGAACAAGAACCGCTTATTGCGAATGATGATGGTGTCGTTATCGTTGAGATGAACGACGCAAGGTGGTTTGTAGGTGCTCGTGTCGCCGTTGTGAGGATGGAACTTGAATCCATTGCTGCCCTTAGCATGAATACTTGCCTGGGAGAGAATCAGTATGGGCCTTCGAAGCGGGGCGAGACGCTCACTTGTCCAGATGTCAAATCGAATACAAGCTCTGCGTGAATCTTGGACACGTCCTGGTAATACAATCTCAACTACGACACAGTGAGTGGGTGTTTGAAAGAATGATTAGCTAGACGTACGTCGCAGTCTGCGTCCCTGTATCCTAGGTCAGCACTGTCATATACCTCGATAGTACACGCACCGTCCGATGGTGATTCTCTCTACGTCGATGGGAAATGTCTGGAGGACGTCGCCAGTGTTGCGTGCGAGAAGGCTGAGGGTGCCGAGGATGGGGAGCTGTGGGCCGAGGGGCATGGGGGAGTCTTCTCTCCCGTCGTGCTCCTGCATCGTGATCCTACCTGTTGTCGCTGTTGTTGTTGCTGGTGTTGACGCGAAATCAGACCGTGTTTGTTTTCCGTCTTTGTTGACATCAAGTCCACCGCGGCGACGGCCGCTTCTGCAGTTACGTCAGCACGGAGATTACCGACGGCCTCCCCCCCCATCTGATGCCATCGCATCTCTTATCGGCGCTCTTTTATTCGCCGTATCCCTCTCTTTCTTCATCATCCTGCAATCGCAATCAGATATTCCGCTCAGGGGGGTACATTCAAGAGCAAGAGCCTCTTCCGAATCATCCTCAAGCGCAATGCCCGCCGACTATGGAGCTGCTTCTCCGCCACGCGCCTCATCGGCATCGTCCACCATTGCCCCGGTCAATCCCCCCAAAGATGGACACGCTTCGGTAACCTCATCAGTCACCAACCTCAGCAACACCATTCTGGGAGCAGGCGCTTTGGCGTTTCCTTCAGCTTTGGCCGCTATGGGTATCGTACCCGGCATGCTGTCATGTCTGTCCTCCGGCATGAGCGCCATGTTCGGGCTCTATTTATTGAGTCGGTGCGCGACTGTCGTCGGCACTAGACCAGGAGACGAGGGGAGGAAGGCGAGCTTCAATGAAATAGCAAGGCTCACCTTTGGCAAAGGATGGGCCACTAAAGCATTCGATGTGAGTCATCCCAACGTCGACGCCTATTACGAAAGAATGATGACATCCCGCCCAGCTAGCTATTGCTTCCAAATGCTTTGGCGTGTCCGTGTCCTACCTCATTATCTGCAAGGTGCGCTAGTCTGCTGTTCGAGGGATCGACAAACGCAAAAGTTCTGATTTGTCCAATAGACGCTCTTACCACAAGTCTGCCAGACTGTGGCTCAGCTCGTCCATCACCCATTAGCTGAGGATTCTATTCTTCTTGCTTCCCATTTCTGGCTCTTTGTCTGGCTGGTCATCATCACTCCTTTGTCTTTCATGCGTACACTGGACTCTTTGCGTTTCACCAGTCAAATTGCCCTTTTGACTGTAGTTTAGTAAGCCCTCCACAATCTATTACATTCCCATCAGACTGACAAAGTGCAGCCTGGTGCTCGTCGTCGTAGGCTGGTTCATCTTCAAAGGTCCCAGTCCTCAGCGAGGCGAGGTCGTCCTCTTCAACTTCAGCTCCAACAGTCTTTCGAGTTTCCCAGTCCAAATCTTCGCCTACACATGTTCCCAGAACCTCTTCCCCATCTACAATGAACTCAAGGACAAGACTCAGAAAAGGATGAACACTGTGATCGGAACATCTATTGGCTCTGCTATCGTTGTCTATCAGGTTGTGAGTCCAGTCAGGGCTCGAGGCTGGCCCAAGCTGACATCTGTCGGTAGATTGGATTGTTTGGTTACCTCACCTTTGGAAGCATCGTGAGCGGCAACGTCATCTCCATGTATCCCGCCACAACCCTTCTTGTCGCTGTCGGCCGCCTTGGTATCGTTCTCCTTGTCGGCCTTTCATATCCACTTCAAGTCCTCCCCTGCCGATCTTCCCTGCGGCACCTTACCCATAGCTTTTTCAAGCATCACGAAGCTGCCAGCGGCGTCGATGAGAGCTCTTTCAGTCGGAGGGCCAGGGACGAAGAGGAAAGTAGTGATGAGGGAGAAGAAGGAGAAGAGGATGCGCTTGTGCCCAAGGGGCATGGTCAAGTGAAACATGAGATGCCTCCAGCGCAGTTCATTGCCCTTACCGTGGGCATCCTCTTCTTTGGATTCCTCATCGCTTACAACGTCCACGAGCTTGAAGTCGGTACGTTCTCTCTCGTAATCTCAAGGCTTCATCATGACTGACATTGATACAGTGCTCGCGTTCGTCGGCTCGACCGGCTCGACAATCATATCCTTCATCCTGCCCGGCTTCTTCTACTTTCGTCTCTTCCGGGATGAGCCGGGGTCGACCAAGTGGTGGGCATTGTTCTTGGGGATCTATGGAATCGGAGTGATGGTGTTCTGCTTGACATTCAATGTCGTCAATCTGATCAGGGGATAGAAGGGAAATCATGAACAATCGGCCGTTGCGCTTTGCACGCTGTGGACCTAAGTGCCAGGATGTATCGATTTGGTAGCGTAGTATTTTGTAAGATATATAGATGAGTGCATGGTCATAGCTGTTTCTTTCATAATGCATGTCTATAATCCAGTTCCCTATACATGAACACCATGATCCAAAGTTTATGCTTGCATACTGTTTGGTCTATTGATGATTATATTTGGTCTGGGTCATATATACAGAAGACTCATCCCTGGATTAGAAGTAGTCCTCCGGCTGTAAAGAGTAAGCGTCAGAAGCCCGGTCTCCTCTTGAGTGCTGAAGAGGCCCAAGGCCGTCTGTAGTATGTTGCGCATTCCAATTGTCAACTGCTCTCTCTCTTATCGAGCGGCCTGTCAACTTGCTGTCCAATGCCTTGACAGATTGAGTCAGGTCTGAGAGCTGAGAGAGGATAGATGCGACTTGGTCATCCGTTTGCGAAAGGCTCCCTCGTAGAAGATCTAAGTCACTGACGGCTTTGAGATTCACAGTCTCACGAGAGACAGGGGACGAGCGAGATTGGTGACTACTGGTAGAGGTTGTGGGCGTGAGAATGAAGGGGTCGCTGAATCGGACTCGCGTGTTGGCGGGAGAGATGTCAGAGCTGTTGAAAGATTCTGCTGGCCCGTCTTGCCTGCTCATGTCGGAGCGCACATCCCTGCGCCTCATAGGCTGAACAAGCGATTGTTCGCGGCCTTCGCGGCCGAAAGTAGCTCCGTCCCTGGACTGCTGCTGTATGCGAGAGTGGCCGTCAGGCTGCACACGAGTCTCAAAGACCTTCGTCACTGGGCGCCCTGAATCGTCGTTGTAGATGACGGTGATTTGATCTTCGCGATGGTCAGACATGGAAGAACACAAGGAGGCCTCATCGTCGTCCATGCTGAAAACAACGTCAACAACTTCAATCTCATGTGGAGCCACGCCCCCTTGCCTCGAGTCGCGGCCCAAGGTGGAGCTCTGAGGTTGAGTGTTGGGGGGGAATCCTGGGAGGGACGGATGGGGTCGGAAAGCGGCATCCCCAGCAGGCTGCCAGGAATCAGTACAATTTTTTTGCTTGTATGCATGAGGAAAGTCTTACAAAGATCATGGGAGGCGGTGGAGGTGTAAGCATTGCGTCAAACAAGCTTACACACTGGCTCGACACAGCAGTGGCGATATCACTGATCAAAGCTTGAGTACTTTCGTCCTTGGCTACGTTAGGCTCGTCGTATCGGAATCCCTCGACGATACTGCTGACAGTATCCCTCAAAGCATCCTCATTTAGCCAAGGGTGAGATGTCTCGTGCATAGCGATGCTAGGCAGGGTTGGCGGCGGTGGCGGACCGGTGAGAGTGTAGAACTCGGGCAACTCGTGCTGTAGCAAAGGCCTAGGTGTGGGAATGTCCTCCCTAAGGAAAACTGTGTTGGAATCGAGGGTGTTGCTGCGGACAGGTCGAGTGTGGTGGCCCGATGGCTGCTCGCTTTGTGGGGGCTGAGAGTTTCTGAGTCTTGCCTCTGAATACTGTGACTGATGACGCCCAGGCCAATTGATATAGCTGTTCATGGTTGCGGGTGGTGAGGTGTAGATGAGTACCAGTTTGGCGGTTATCTGAAGGGGTTAGGATGTGGTACAATTTTTCTGGGATGAGGAAACTGGAAAGAAAAGGAGATTATATATGTTGCGTGGAGATTTTATGGGGCAAAGGAGAGCGCCTTCCCACTATCTTTTGTCTTGAAGAAGCACGGAACTCGCCAAGCCGTTCTTTCTCTTCACCTCATACATTCGGAGTTGTCTGTGTTGTAGAGATCCTTTCGTCAGAAGTCTGGGATATGTGACTCACTCTTCAAAGGTTGCCAGAGATAGTCCTGTATGGGAAAGTAAAGGTAGCCTTGTCAAAGGTACAAGTAGAATGGCAGCAGTCTTTTGACGTTCTTCACACACTCGGGCCAGTGGAAGCACAAACACTCACCACAAAAACGTTTCGTTCGGACACTATGGCATCAGTAGCATGTTGAGACGCATCGAGTCAGAAGCTTCGGAAGACAGCTTGACTCTGTGACTATGCATACTCGAGCAACAATGGATGGTGCCACACCAATAAATGCCGCCATAATCCGGCGCGCGCGTGTGACTTTGCAAAGCGTGTAAACAAGAGCAGCAGCCTCAAATCAGCTTTACTAACGCGCATCTATCTCGCCTCTTTTCTCATCTTCCACCTCCCACCTCCCGACTACCCCTGCAATCCTCCCCCCATCGCCACAGATTACCGCTCCAGCAAGTCCCCGGTATCCAAAACATACAGATCCAGCCAAACAACAGCCACAGCGCAGATGGCCGACCATCTCCCCCCCGCCCCTGCGGCCGCCCCGGTGAAGAAGGAAAAGATTGTCCCGCCCAGCCCTCCTCTGAAGATTAAAGATAGAGACAGGGGCTGCGAGTATTTGAGAGTCGGGTTCTTGGGAGAAGTGAGTATCGTTTTGTTTGTATTGTTTGCACAAGCGGCAGGGGCCGGCAATCGCACATGGTATACTGATGATGAGATATAGGGAGGTTTCGCCAGGGTCTACGAAGTCCAAGACCACAGAGGGTCCAGAAGGGCAGTCAAGGTTGTCAGCAAGGCTAGCATCAAGACGAAAAAGAACAAGACCAAGTTATGGGCAGAGATCAAACTCCACCAAATGCTTGCGCACCCCAACGTGGTCAGGTTTGACGACTGTTTCGAGGATGAAGAGAACGTCTACATGGTGTTGGAGCTTTGCCATAATGGAGTGAGTCGATAGCTGTCAATGACCAAGCCCAGCTTACGCACGGCCCCAACAGAGTCTCATGGATCTTCTGCGTCGCCGCAAGCGCTACTCCGAACCCGAAGCCCGCTACTACCTCGTCCAACTCATCGCCGCGTGTCAATACATGCACCAGATGAATGTCATCCACCGTGATCTTAAGCTGGGAAACTTGTTTCTGGATGAGAATATGGATATCAAGGTTGGAGACTTTGGATTGGCAGCTCTCATTGAAAAGCCGGGAGACAGAAAGAAGTGAGTGGCAAGGGGAACATGGCGATCTCAGCTGACTTGCTGTAGAACGATATGTGGGACGCCAAACTATATTGCCCCCGAAGTGTTGTTCGACACTGCCAACGGGCATAGCTTCGAGGTGGATGTTTGGTCGGTTGGGGTGATCTTGTAAGTTGGATTTCTCCGCTCCGTGCGCCAAGCTGAACCTGTTCCAGATACACACTCCTCATTGGCAAACCCCCCTTCCAAACCAAAGATGTCAAAGCCATCTACAAGCGTATCCGTGAAAATCGATACGAGTTCCCCACCGACCGTGAAATCTCTTCCTCCGCCCAGGATCTCATCATGTCAATATTGAACACCAACCCAGGTATGTCGGGTCGTCTTTAACTGTATAGTGCTCATCCCTCTTCAGACAAACGGCCTACGCTCGACGCCATCCTCAGCCACCGGTGGTTCCTCGACGGCGCCTTCCCAGCCTACATCCCCGCATCCGCCAACGACTTTGCACCTGACTTCCGACATGTCTCTTCCTCCCAGAGCCGTCGAAACTTTGCCGCATTGTGCCACAAATCCAAGATTGGTATCGCTCAGTCTATCAACGTCGAGCCTCCCCGGCCGCGCACTGCTCTTGGACCATCCATTATGCAGCAAGAGAGGGACTTCAAGAATGCCGTTCAACCCGACAGCCCGATTTCTGCTTTGCTCAACTCTGCTCGACAGCCTCTTGTCCAAGCTCCCGCTGGCATCAAAGAGCCGTCTCTGTTACGAAAGCTCTCTGCTGCGAGTGCAGCCAGTACGCTTAGTCCTGCTCGGCGCGGTACAGCTGGCAAGGAGAACCACGACCTTGGGCGTAAGCCCGCTGCCATGGAGCGTCTGGGTGAAGAGTCTGAAGAAGAGCGGGCTGAGGAGGAACAGAAACCCAGACCAGGCAGAGAGAATGAGCTGGCAGCGCAGAAGGCGAGGATCGTGTCGCAGATGGCGGCTGAGAGGCAGCAGTACGTGGAAGCACTGGAGAAGGCTTCAGAGGGCGGAGCGGCACAGAGGCAGATGTATGAAGGGGCGAAGGCTAGAGTAGCGACTGCTCCCAGAGCGGCAGTGCCGTTATCAGCCACGCTAGCCCAACCTACGGCGCCGTCAAGTCGGGCGGAAAGGTCGACCAAGCCTTTTTACGGTCAATCGACGGTTGCCGAGTCCTCCAAGCCCGAGAAATCTAGAGACTACAAAACGACCTTGTTTGAGACGTTTGGGCAAAATTTGACGCACGGCTTGGCGATGTCCCAGACAGAGGAAGGTTTCCAAACACCTCGTGAGTCCAACTCGCACATCGCGGAAGCACAACTGACAGCCATTAGAAATTGAGTCAAGACCGGAAGCGCCATCCGTATTCGTGGTGTCATGGCTCGACTACTGTACCAAGTATGGTATGGGCTTTGCCATGACGGACGGCACCGTCAGCGTCCACTTCAACGACTCCACCTCCCTGGTGCTCGCACCCGGCAAGAAGCATTTTGATGATATCCGTCCCACCGGCTCCGATGACCTCTCCCAGAACATACGGCGGAATCACCTCATTGAGAGGTACCCGTCCGATCTCAAGAACAAGGTCTACTTGTTGAAACACTTTGAAAACTACATGTTGGACAAGCTGTTTGGTGATCAGCCGTATACCTTTGAGGACAAGGAGCTAACGACGGGGATGGTGTTTGTGGTCAAGTATCTGAGGATGAAGCATGTGATCTTGTTTAGGTTGAGCAATGATGTCCTTCAGGTGAGTTTGAAATTGTGTCCTATAGAGTCAAGCTGACGAGCGTCACAGTTCAACTTTTACGACCACACCAAGCTCATTCTCTCCCGGGACGGACTTGTTGTCACGGTTATCGATAGACACTCGGTCATCCGCACCTGGAGTCTCGAGGAGCTGTTGCGGCCGGCGGATGAGAGACTGTCGCCAAAGGACAAGAAGAGAATTGAGGGCGTTGTCCACAAAGTTCAATACGCTAGGTGAGTTACATTCAAACCATACTGACCAAAGGCTGACTGGCTATTCAGGGATGTTCTGGCAAAGATCAAGAGTCATGTGTCCACAAGCACCAAGACAGCTAGCGTCCAGCCTGCACCTGCAAAGTCGACAGCCGCCCATGACCAACGTGCCTACACTGCGCGTCCCGTAGGCGAACGTGAGATCGGGAAACCTATCCGCTAGTCATAGCGCACATTTGAGCTGCTTGACTGACACCCGAATATGACAGATGTTGTGGTTGACAACTATGGGACAATAAGTATACTTCATAGACACTCATATATCATACACTCATACACAATTGATACTTCATTGTTCTTTCTTCACCTCTGACACTGTCTATAGCATTGGTTAATATTGTATGGCGACCTGGACGCTTATATGCACATTCCTGTTACGAAGCGGAACGGGCGACTGACTGGGCTTCCGGAGTCATCCTGAGATTCAAGACTGCCCAGAGCTCAAGACGACTCCTCCATCGCTAACCATGGCCGACCTTCATGCACTCTCACAAGCAAAACTCCCGTAGAACACCACGTACTAATTCTATCTGTTACATGCATGTGCTACCTCGTTCCTCCGATGAACTCCGATGAAGACAAAGTATATACCTCCTTGCTATCGCCGGCATGCTGCAGAAAAGGGAGAAGATCCCCAGATGACTATCGTACAATATGCTTACCCAGAATCAAAGAAAGAGTGGAGTGGGTAGTGTAAAAATAACAGGTCGCCGACCTTCTCTCGCCAAACACGCTTCCTCCTACGTTGGGGTTGTTGAAACCATACTCTTCGCTCACGCGTAGACTTCTCACTCTTTCCCCTTGGTCTTGAGCCCCGACAGCATCTTGGCCAACGAACTGATCTGACCCTTCAACTTGGGTTTGTTCGGTGACGTGGCATGGTCAGGACTCTCTCCCATGACGGTCGTCGCTCCCGACGACATCGAGTTGACCGACTCTGTGGCAGCAGTCGACCTGCCTGCAGTACCCGTCATAGTCCGGATAGTTGTTGAGCTATCAACAGACGAGAGACTGGGCTTGATGGAAGTCGGCGAGGCTGAAGGGTAACCTTTGTAGGTCTGAGCAGGAATGGGTTGCGGCTTCTCGGCTGACAGAGGCTGAGAGTGAGCGGGAGGAGGAGACGTAAAGGTGATGGGTTTTGAGCTGTGCACAAGACTCGAGGTTGGCCCCGTCGACCCAGTCGTATGGGCGTGTCTCGGTGCCATATGACTAGGACGTCCGAAAGACCCCATAGGACCCATAGCACCGGCGATGGCAGCTGCAGCCGCCTCCGCCTTCTTGGCCCGTGCCTCCTCATCCTGGCCATGGTTCTTCTTGTCCCTGCCTCTCTGTGCATAATCCTTATCCTCTTCACCCACGCTAGTGGCACTGGACGCTTGTCCAAAGCTCGAGATTCCGCTGCTTGCGCCCGAGCTCATTGTTGCTTGGGTATAGGCATGTCGCCTGCTCGCGCCTCCCTGCCCGCCGTTCTTGCCACCCTGCAGCTTTGCCGGCGCACTCAAGTTCATACTGCCATCCGCGTCCCTGTCCTTCATTCTCTGTGCCAAAGCCGCCAGCTCGGGATTACCTTGGCTGCTCAGCTTGATCATGTCCTTCCACTTGCTCTTCTTCTCGGCAGCCACTTGAGCGGCCGTGACACCAAGCGGCGGGAAGTCTTCGATGCGGTTGACATCCACACTCGGCGTATGAAGTTTGGACATTTCGCGTGCGAGGGACTGGGACGCGGATGCGAGCTCCTTCAAAAGCTCATCTCGAGCGGCCTGAGTCAGAGGGTCGGCCGCGGCAGCAGCAGCAGCTTGCGCCGCCTTGCCCTTCCTCACCCCACGCTTCCTCCTCTTGTGAGTGGAAAGCGAGCGCGAATCGGCATCACCTCTATCCCGTGAGCAGTCCCTGTCATCCTCATCCGCCCCTAGCGCAGCAGAGCTGGGGGCGTAATCAGAGGGCGAAGCAAAGTTGCTCGCATCTACCGGGGTGGTCTGCTCATCGCGCGTAGCTGACGTCGTTGCCGAAGCCATATCCGGCTCGAGAGGTGGGGTGGGAAGGGTAGCTTCGGGCGAGGGCGTGCTGCTTGACTCGCGCTCTTCCTCTGGTTGTTCGACAAGACTACTTGGTGGAGGAAGGTCGGACAGTCGAGGAGACGAGCTGATCCCTGGCGCGGTAGACGTCAAAGCCGAGGTCGAGTACTTTCGCGGCCGGTCGACTTGGTCAATGGGGCTCTTCATAAAGACACCCTTGTCCAATGGACCTTGCCCACCAGCCGTCTTTTGCGTCTCCAACCTCGACATCTTCATCGCCTGCATCGCCTTTCTCCCTCCAATCATCTCTGGCAAGCCCTTGACCCACCTCGCAAACTCTCTCGCATCCACCCTCTCGTCGACGTCGATGCACAGCACATGGTCGGCCAAGTATGACGCGACTTCACGGCCGATACCGGTAAACTTTGTGAGGATGAATGCGATGGGGTCGTTGAGAAAGGAGTCAAAGTTGGGGTCGCCGGGTGTGGGGTCTTTCCAGGGGTTTCGGTGAAAGAGCATGTTGATGAGGACGATACCGAGTGACCAGACGTCGGCGGGAGCGGGAAAGTAGGTGGGGCCGAGATTGTTTCGGCATTCTATCTGGGCTTAGCGTGTTCCGAAATATGTACAGGAAACTCACCATAAGACATGTAAGGTTTGCTGCCACACTCGACATCCCCACTCTCCCTCTCTGTCGTCGCCAACCCGAAATCGGTCAACTTGACGACCACCTTTCTCTTTGCCTGCGGCCCAAAGTCTACCAACGGCTTGGCCCCCGGTCCAAACTGATCATCTTCCGTAAAGTCGCCATCCTTGGCAGCCTCGAGCTCGACCGAGTCGCAGCAGATAAAGTTCTCGGGCTTGATATCCCGGTGGCTAACGCCGGCATCGTGGCAGACGGCGACAGCTTCGCACATTTGCGAAAACATGGAAGCGATCAGGCGAAGACGACGTTGGGACAGGAGGGTGTTGGCGGAGAATGCAGAGAGGAGTGAGGGGGTGGGGGGCGTTTGAGAGGGCATGAAATGAGATCCGTGGGACCCGCCATTATGATGCGCAAAGATGAACGAGGCAGGTGAAGCGCCGAATTGCGAGTGATTTTGCGAAAACGCAGCGCCGGGGGATTGAGAGAATGACATGCTGTTGAGATTGGAGAACATTTGAGACGATGAAAAGGGGATCGATGAAGAGGAGAGTTTGGATGATGAGAATTGGTCCTCGGGCAGAAGAGCATGGTTGGGTTTAGGAGAGGCGTCACGGGATTTTTCCAGCCAGTAGAAGCTGACAATAATGAGCCAAGGTCAATGTGGTTGTGATGCACTTACAGGTCTTCTCCGGGACAAAGTTCCAGCATCAAAAACAGCCATTTCCGTGTTTGGAGCGTCTGATGCAAAGTGACAATGTTCTGATGGATAGGCAAAGAGAGGTGGATGTGCGCTTCAAACAGTTGCGTTTCGAGCTGCTCGTCAGCCAGATCGTGTTTACTGAGGCATTTCAGAGCTACCCCTGGTCAGCAGCGTCCACAGCATGAAACATTATCGACTTACCAAACTCCCTCTTGCCACCACGCTCCTTGACGAGATACACCACAGCATAACTTCCAGTCCCCAACCTCCTCACGACCTCGTATCGCTTCTTCTCCGTCCTGCCATCCGTCCTCAAGACCTTTGTCGCCTCACTCCCGCCTCTTCTGAGTGGCAACCCTACATCGCTCCCATCGGCCAAAGCCATCCTCGACACTGCGGGGACAATGACTTCTCCCTGAAACTTGAGGCCTTCGCCAATGACCATGCCATGCGTCAAGACATCCTCCACAATCCTCGACGCATCCGAGTCTCCACTCCATGTCTGCCCCACCTTGTCGTCATCCACCTGACTCTCGACCCTTGCCACCTCATCCTCGCCATGATCAAGCAGCATCCCACCGGTGGGCTGCCAGTCGTCCATTTCTTCCACGCCCGGCGCCCAAGAATCAGACATCTCGACAGGCTCCTCCGTGTACTTTTTGCTGGGCGTGCCATGGGCGGTGTGGGTGCCGGGTGGCACATTCACACTCCCCTGTGGCGTGCGTGACCGCGAGCGCGAGCTCAACGAGATGGACACGATCGCAGCCGAGTTCCGCCTCGACCTGGGCAGGTAGTCGCTCCCCAAATTAGCAGCGTTCGCCCTGGGCGAGTGCTGCAGTAATCTCGGGCTCTCGTCTGCAAAGCTGTAGACCTGGTCAACAGGGGTCGACACCTGTGGCGCAAACGAGTTCATGCGGATCAGGTTTGCGGCCTGGGTGTTGAGGGGCAGCTGGGGGGCTCGGGGGGAGGTGGAGATGGACTCGGGGACGGCAGGGAGGGTCTGGTGGGATGGGACGGGGCTGAAGCCGCCCATGACGACGCTGGTGCGCGAGCTGGTGGGGGGCGGGGGCGATGCGGGGGCAGTCGAGTTGCGGCGGGGGGAAGGGAGAGTCGGGGGCATTGGGTCGGGTGGGTATGGGGGAGGCGAGCGGGGGGTTGTCCATGGTGATGGGACTCGCCGGTGCCCTCTCGGCTGGTGTGGGTGAGAAGGTGGAGCAGGGGACGTTGTGGCTGACGGGATGAGTCGGCGGTATCCTTTGAGCGCGCCCTTTGTAGAGGGGAAGGCTGGTAGCAGATGGATGGGTGGAGATGTACGAGTCCACGTGGGCCGGCCGGGGATTCTGGGGGATGTGCAGGGTGAGTGTATAGGGGGTCCCTCTGAGCACCCCCTGATGTTCTTGTGAGATGTTGAGTCGGTGGAAAGATGGATCAACATGCAATAAACGAGATGCAATTCCCCCACCGGTCCAGCCGACACTGGCCACAAATCGCCGCCGCCCACATGCTGCCACCCGACGGACCGGCAGCCCATGCATGCAGATTATACGTGGTACTACGCTGACTCTCTCGACACTGCGATGCATCCCCAGCCTCCCTTGTCCAGCATAGAACTGCCCCCCGAGAACGTTCTGCCGGCGTCTATACATAGTAGCGTGCCGTTGATAGCCTCAGGTCTACGGAACCAAATTCAGGGAGGGGTTTCATTTGGGTTTCATCCTCCCTTACGATTGGTCTCTTACACAGTCATCGACTACCGTGCATGCATCTTTCTATTGTTCAACGTTCACAGTCACACAACGGGCAGCCATGTTATGTAGCGTTCCGACTGTGGTTGCTCCCCTTCAAACTCGAGGCATCACTTGACAGTGGCGGGCGGTGACTACTCGCATGAGTCGCGCATCGCAGCAGCAACACGAGAGCCAGTTCTCGGGAATGCACTCGCATGGGCATTTTCAGTCAAAACCTAGAACAGAGGGCCCCGTCTCATGGCCGGCCGTCAGAGCGTACTACACGGAGCGTAGTACATATTTGGCAAGTATAGAGACCGTGATCACATGGCTTCTGGGCCATAGCGTGTGGTCGCGACGTTCCGATGAAGGCCCAGGCTGGGGGTATCGCATGGGCCCGTCGCTCGACCCATGGCGAGTGGTCAGCGGACAGTAGCCGTCCATGGAACCATGAAACAGTTGAATGACCGTCATCCAACCTTTGTACAGCGATTCATGTGTATTCCGTTGGTTTCCACGTCATTGCTGCCCTCACGAAGAATATGAAAGGCAGCCGGGACTTTGCAGCCGATCGCCTGAGCGTCTTCCATCTCCATACACAATTGTGGCAATCGCGAAAGAGCACAAGAAGATGACAAACATTCTATGCACAGAATGACAGAAGCCGACGTCGACGGCGGCCGCCGCAGCCTCCGAGCAACGCAAAAGACGACCTTGAATACCAGTGATGCTGCAACCACCTCGCCATGTCTCTGGACATCAACTGGGACCTCCTCAGTCCCACAGACCACCTCCAAGACTCCCTCATTACCCTCCTCAACGCCCACCTCGCCAACGCCGCACGCCCCTCCTTCATCGGCCCCGTCACCGTCACTGCATTCGACTTTGGCACCGCCGCTCCAGATCTCGAAATCAGAGATATCCGCGATGTCTGGCGGGTGTTTGACCAGGGGGACGAAGAGGGCGACCTGATAGAGGAAGAGAAGCAGAAAGAAAAAGAGAGGAAGGAGAGAGAGAGGCTGAAGAGTGAAGCTCTCAAAAGTTCGCTGGACGGCGAAAAGTACGAGATGGTCGACTACTACAGTCCAACCTCGGAGGGCGGAGAGTCTTACGACGAGCAATTCGAGTACGACCTCGAACAGCAGCTCGAAGCCGAAGAACGCGCTCGCCAACGAGGCCGCCGGCCCAACTCGTACGCCCCCACAAGCTACCCCGACCGCCCCGCCGTCCACCGCTCCATGTCTGCCCGCTCCTTCATACCCTACCCATTCGACCACCCCGTCCGCACCCCATACCTCCCCTCCACCCCCGGGCTCAACCCCTCACTCTTCTCACACCCACTGTCTGTGCGGCGGAACCCCCTGTCTGCCTCGCAGAGCGTCGCCCCCATACCTTCTCGCCGGCGGCTGCCCATCGCCCCTTCATCTACCCCTCCCTCCCCGCCTGCCCACCCCGCAGGCCTCCCACCATCCAAGCCAGCCTCCTCCGTCCCCTCCCTCCAACTCCACCTCCACCTCTCCCACACATCCGACCTCCACCTCACCCTCCTCACTTCCCTCCAAGTCAACTACCCGTCCCAGCTTTTTATGGCATTGCCTTTGAAGATATCTATCACGGGGTTCCATATCGATGCTGATGTGGTGTTGGCGTTTAATGGGGAGAAGAATAGGGTGCATCTGACTGTTGTCGATGAGGAGAGCGGGCAGGGGCCGATGGGCGGTATGGGCGGGGAAGACAAGAATCTGTCGATAGGCCAGAGACTACTGCCCAATCTGCAGATAGAGTCAGAGATTGGACATGCGGATGCCCATGTGCTGAGGAATGTGGGCAAGGTGGAGAGGTTCATTTTGGATGTCGTGAGAAAGACGATGGTGGATGAGTTGGTGTTTCCCAACTTTCATACAGTGGCGTTGTAGGGAGAGAGGACGTAAGGAGACGGTGGAATAGGAGAAAGAGCAAGAGGTTCAAGTGTATCTGGCATAGCATAGCAGTTGTTGTAAGCATGTACTGTTCATGGAACGGCTTGATCCCAAGCTCAATACATCACGTTTGAGAGGCTACCAAGGTGCAAATGGATGTGCATACAGAGCCTTAGAATCTGATGGGTAAAATTCAACCTTTGGTCTTCAAGTGAGCGATGTTTCTTCTTGACCTTGTGACACGGCGAGCGCTTTCTGGGGCCTCACCACTGCCCGTCGCCATATTGAGTGATCGATACATGCGCCTGGCTTGGGATGTTGAGGACCATGCAAACGGGTGCCTTCAGTGTAGATATCTAGCGCATGCATACCATTCGATCATAACATAGCCCCGTGAAGGAACGATCTACCCACACAGACCATATGCAATGTCATCGCCGCGAGGCAGGGTCGTCGCCAAGGGATGATGCGGTAGTCGGCATATATAACCCCATTCGAATTGCTCTTAGCCCCCCTCATATTTCTTTCCACCCATACCACCAATAAATGGCATAGCCAAGCCGACTCGTCTCTGGACTATAAGTAAGTCCCCCATATACATCTCTTCAATCATGCGTCTTGTCGAGCAGCCTGCACCCGTCCTGAAAGATGATACCTACATGAGCAACCATATCTAGCTCTCGAGCTTTGAGAGTACAGCAAACTGTCTAGATGCTGACACTAGGACGGGGGGGGGCTTGCTTGCATCTTCTGGCGAAAAGACTCGGACCTGTTGACGCTGGGAGACTTTTGAGCTGACTTGATGGACGTGTCGCAGAGGCATCAAGATCGTTGCATATACTAATGTGGTCCTATGTATCATTGTATACATACATACATGCGAGTACTGTGATTGATTGCCGTCTTGTCTCACCAAGGCAGAAAGCAGGCAGAACGAAAGTATCAACGTTGAAAGAGTACCAAAGTGCCACTTCGCAGTCGCAGTTTCGGCGTTATGATTTCGCGGTACTTTGGCTCGAAGTCCTCTAACAGATCACTCGATCCTTCTCAATTCACGGCTGTCTCTCTCCAGCAAAACCTCAAGACCTCAACGTGCAAGCTCTTCAAGTCTCGACCAAGAATCAACAACAGCGTATCATCGTGAGTATCATTTCCAGCGCCCCGAGCTCCTGGCTTCAAGCCCACTTGAAGGATGCCAAGCATGTATTGTCCGACCTTGGCGTGATAACCAAGTCGAATGTTGAATCAACCATAGTCAGAATCGCACTGATACTCTTACCTCTTACTTCGTTGAATTGTGTCGAGGAAGGGTCATTGTGCTGACACTTATTTCCTTCTAGTCTTCATTTTGGAACACAATCAGCAATTCGCTTCGCACAGACCCTCGACTTTGCCCCTTTGGACGCAGACAGTTAAAGTAGCGAATCAGTGAGTCATCTTCGCCAATGATCTTTCCACCATCCTCCATCCTCTTCCCTGATGACAACCTTTATATATGCATGGCTTTCAGAACTTTGCTGTAGAGAACTGGTTAGAACCTTTCTGATCTATTTCATTCCATCCCCCTTCTTCAAGATTGGATCCTGGAAAGAATGGTGGCTGACTATCGTCTATCAGGTTTTGGGTCAGTAAGTTTCAGTCCTCGTAGATATGGTCCCACAAGATGTATTATCATTCAACTTGCAATATATCAACACCCGTCAAACGATTATAACATCAAAATGACATTGTATCAACCCGTGGTTTTGGGAAACACGAGATGATAGTAAAAAGCAAAAAGAGCACAAAGGACCAAAGGCAAACGAAGGGGTATCTGCGTATCATATAAATTGTTATATCAAGCTTCTTCTCACTATAACCCCCACTATACTTCTTGTGATTCGTCTTTCTCTCACTCCTTGACTTCGCCATCTCCCCCCTTGTCAGCCTCCGACTCGCCCATCACCACGTCTTCCTTCTCGGCTCCCTTTTCAGCAGCTGCCGAAGGGGGCGTAGCAGTCTTCTCCTTGACCTCTTCCACGGGAGCACCATTCACTTGAGGCACAGGCGGCGTAGATGGCCGGGACTTTTCCTTCTCTGGCTCGGACGCCGCAGGAGTGGGAGGTTTGGGACTAGGCTGCGCTGCGGGAGGGGTGGGGGAAGCACGGGCAGCAGGCAAAGGTTCTTGCGCGCTGGGTGCAGAGGTCGGGGCGGGGGGCGAGGCAGACTTGGGCGCTGACGGCGCTGGAGTGACCTCCGCCACAGGCGCTGGCGCATCTACATCCATCTTATCCTCGGTTCCCTGTACCTCTTCCTTCCCTCTCTCCTGCTGTGCACCCCCCGAAGAAGGACGCGAGGGCGGGGCCGTTCTAGCAGACTCCTTTTCGTCCACAGCCGACGCTGGTCGAGGAAGAGGGCTGGCAACACTCGGTGCGTTGAGCACTTCGATCACCATCTTTTTCGCGGGAGGTACTGATGTTGCACCGGACCGACTGCCGATAGACCCTGTCGCTGAAGGAGGGGGAGAATGAGACTGGACCTTGTCGCCCTTGGCACGCTTGTTGCTCTGGTCTGGCGAGACGGGCTGAGAGTCGAATGCACGTTTGTTACTGGCGCTCAACAAAGGAGGGTGCTGGGGCAAAGGCTGATGCCGGGCAGCGAAAGACGGGCTGGGGCTAATGTGCCGCGTGGGCATGGGGAGGCTGGTAGTACTTCCGCCAGCAAGAGACATGAGCGCATCAGCAGCACCTTCATCGTAATCTGAGCCTCATCAGCACTGTCCTCCTTGAATGT